GTTACACTATATTTCAGTGGATGGAGAGCTTGTCTGAGGTTGTAGGGATCTGGTTAAATTGAAATTAATTAATTCTTCGCAGGTTGGTTTATAACCAGGCACTTGTCAGTTTGCGAGTCGGTTCATTCTTACCTGGAACAGTACTGTTTTCACGTATAAAGATTTTACCGTCTCTGGCCGAACAAACCCTGTCTGAATAACCATCGGGTTATACTTGCTACATATGCTCTGTATCTGGTAAGGTTTTCATTAATGTAGACGCATTTTATTGCAAGATGAGCCATTTTTCTGTTCGTCATGATAAAGACTTTTGTTTTGTAACTTTTGAGTCGAACAATTATCTGACGATGCTTATTTTCTTCTTTCCTACCAAGACGATGGCAGTTTTTAATGTTGTTTGGGAGTTGTCAATAGTGGTAAGTACTCTCAACATTTTACCCTCAACATTTTCGTTTATTTCTTCTTTTTTTTGCTCTAATACGAATGCAGTGTTTACGACTGTATTTTTCTAGCTCGTCACACTTATCTCGCACTGTTGCATTTAGGTGGAGATAGGTTGAGGCTAACTGTAATTTTAAGGATTCATTTTCTTTTTGAAGAGGAGCGACTTGTTTTTTAACTTCAGCTTGGACAATCTGTTCTATGAAGGGCTTAATAGCGACCTTAACTTGCCTTCTGTGGAAGGATAGAGCAAGTGCCTCAACAGTTTTGTCAAACATTGAACCTTCCGGTTCAGAATGAGTATTTATAGATGGTATAGGCTGGCTTGTTGTATTATTTTGGTCCTATATTGAGGTTGGTGTGATGGACTCTTTAAGTCTAGTCTGTTCTTTGTCAACAGTGCCAAGGAAATTAATAAAATAAGAGTTGGTTTGGTCAGTTGGATCGCCGGGGAGTATAGAAATCAAAGAGTTCTTTTAAATAACTGTAAGAGTTTCTTCATGTACGACCAAAAATTCATGCTGCAAAATTTACCGTGTCTTAGCTTGACGCCATCTTGTTTGTTAATCATTAACTTGATACAACTACAATTTAATATTGTTAACCATTTACCTGATAGGGTTACAGTTTTGCCGATGTTATTTGTTAACCATTTACTTATTAACATTTCCTTTGTGTTTTAAAACGAAACTGAAGTGGGTTTTAACGTCCTACTGTTCTGCTCCGATTGGGCTAATGAAGTCGGACAGGAGGGGATTTTTTTTCCCGGAAAGCGGCACTACGGCCTACTCTTATCGAATTCCAGCTGCCAAGAGATCTTTTACGTATACGCCAATGAGTACACGGGAACTCGGTTTTTCGTGCCATCCGAACGACTAGACAGCTATCCTTGTCAGGCACTCCGTCCTGCATCACTGACAAGGGGAAACCATGCTTGACAATCCCGAGAAAGTTTTTGGGCCAACACTGGGGGCGCGTTTAAAAAAGTGTGTGACGAATAGATCTAAAAGTCAGTATGCATACCTATATGATTCATGTACAGTGTATTCCTAATATTTATACCCCCTATATTCTACTTGTATAATGTATATGTTTTGTAGTTTGGGAGTGACTTATCAAATAGAGAGAGAGAGAAATGGGGTTTAACGTCCACTCGACTAACATATGGTTTTTTATTTTATTTACATAATTCGCTTGCACGTAGGGGTCTTTAGCAGTGGGAGGAAACCGGAGGCCCCGGAGAAAACCCACGAGGTTGGACAGGCGACCCTACTCCTTGCCACGTACAACCGGGGATTCGAAACCACGCCAGTCGACTCAATGGCAGACTTTATGATACAGCGCGCGCGCACGCTAACCATTCAGCCATCCAACCCCCCTGACTTATCAAACTTCCCATTTTAAAATGCTATTGTATTTCTAATGATTTTAAATTTATCCTGATATTACATGTATATATGTCTTTGTAGCTTAGGAGGGACCTATGGAAGATTAGTTTTTTTGTTTTTTTGCAAACTAAATACGTTGCCTCATTAAATAAGTTTTTATTATTATTATTATTATTATTATAATGTCCGCCAGACCGCTAACAATTTTTAGACTAAATATATACAGTGTTGTGTGCGTTTATTAACGTGTTTCACTTTTTTAAAAATTTGTAGTGAAGCATTAGAATAGGGAACGAACGTTGTCGATATACACCGTTCCGTCACTTTCAGTTCCGGACCCCCCTCCCCACTCTTGTCTTTTCTGAAGATAGGGGTGTTGGATGGCCGAATGGTTAGCACGTGCGCACTGCGCTGTATCATACGGTCTGTCATTGAGTCAACTGGTGGGGTTTCGATTCACGGCTGTACGTGACAAGGAGTAGGGTCGCCTGTCCAAGCTCGTGGGTTTTCTCCGGGTCCTCCCGACTGCTAAAGACCCCTACGCGCAAGCTAATTATTGAAATAAAATTGAACCATGTGTTAGTCCCGAAATGACCTAGTTTGTGTCGAGTGGAGGTTAAACCCCATTTCTCTCTCTCTCTCTCTCTTTCACTAACTTAGAGTCCTAAAGGTGATAGATCTACATGACAGATAGATCTGTCATTGAGTCAACTGGCCTGTCCAACCTCGTGGGTTTTCTCCGGCTCCTCCGGTTTCCTCCCACTGCTAAAGACCCCTACGCGCAAGCTAATTATTGAAATAAAATTAAACCATGTGTTATTCCCGAAATGACCTAGTTTGTGTCGAGTGGACGTTATACCCCATTTCTCTCTCTCTCTTTCTTTTCTGAAGATATAGTTAACTTGTAGGGTTTTTATTTTTAGAGTAGTCGTGAAGCATTAGGATCGTGAGATAATTTTAATATTCTATTTAATTACAAATTTTATGTAAAACATTGGGATCGCACATTTTCAGCATTCTAGAACTTTATTAAGTGTCCGGAGAAGCTTGTGGACTTGGTCGAGATTCGACTGCTTGACGAATCCTATCCACATTTACATCCAAGGTTTCTTTTCGAACAAGCTGCGTTGTGTTACTATTTTACTGGGTTTTTTTTCTTTTTTGGATAGCGTATTTGAAAGATGTGTGAGTAAATCACTTCGTTTGGTAACCTGTGCTTTCGTAAAAGAAACTTTGACGCTTGGACATTGGGAACGAGTCGGCTTTAATTCTAGAACATTAATGACATTTTGTCTAGATTATCAACCGCGAACCTTTATATATAGGATTCTATATAGCGCTAAACTCCAAACAATAAAGTCTGCTCAAAGCGCACACAAATTCAATTCTAAGTTACTTTAGAGTTTATTTTTAATATTTAGAAAACAGGAATGTCTTTAATTTAGATTTAAATATTGAAAATGTTTGAGCAGATTTTAAAGCTAACGGGAGGGCATTCCACTTCAAAGCCGCTGTAACTTCAAATGATTTAAAAACAAATTTTTTCAGTTTCCATTCTGGTACTGTAATATAATGTTGAGATTGAGATCGCCGAGGTCGTATTGACTGGTAGGGATTAACAAGTTCCTTTAAATACGAAGGAGCATTTTCATGAAGGCACTGATACACAACTGTTAAAATTTTGAATTCTATCCTTTCACTTATGAGTAACCAATTCAGAGAATTTAGTACTGGAGATATACTAGAACGTTTTGGTGATTTGGAAACTAATGTGGCTGCAGAATTTTGTATCTGTAGTTTTTGTAATAATTTTGTAATGATTATATAGAAGGTCCACATCTGGGTGCTGTCCTGTACAAACCAGCAGACATAGCTTCTAAGACTTAATAGGATATAGTAGGTGAGTTTCTGATAGAAAGATCGAGTTGATTCCATTCTCTAATTGTAGATAGTTTAAAAGAGGAATAAAATAAAGAAATATGTTGGGGCGTTGCTTTGGTTTCGTAGGCGATAAGAATTTATATAGGGTGGTATTCGGGAGTGAAATGGTTTATGAGTTTGAAGAATAAAATAAAATTATGAAAAAGTTCTATAGAAAAGGTATATGTTCCTATAGAAGTTTGTGGGATTCTTATCTATAGAATACTGTAAGGAACTATTGGAAAAAAATAAACCTATAGATTCATTGGCGATGCTACAGAATTGAGGGGGGGAGGGTGGCCGAATGGTTAGCATGTGCGAGCTGTATCATAAGGCCTGTCATTGAGTCAACTGGCGTGTCAAACCTCGTGGGTTTTCTCCGGCTCCTCCGATTTCTTCCCACTGCTAAAGACCCCTACGCGCAAGCGAATTATTGAAATAAACATTAAACCATATGTTAGTCCCGAAATGACCTAGTTTGTGTCGAGTGGACGTTAAATCCCATCTCTCTCTCGCTACAGAATTGGGGGTAAAAACTATAGTTTTCGATAGAACTAACTTGTATCTTTGAGTCAGTCGAGTAATCCTATAGTTTTCTATAATCTTTGTGGTAAAAACTATATATATAGTTTACTATAGAATTAACTTATATTCTCAAGTCAGTTGTGGATCGTATAGATTTAGTGGAAAAAAATATAGTTTTCTATAGAATTAACTTACAGTCTCAAGTCAATTGTGTAATCCTATAGTTTTCTATTAGAACACTAGCAGGATCACCCAACAGTCAGACTGTGTTAAAAAAAACGTAGTATTTGTTAAAATTGTTTATGCATGGCATACATATAAATTTGACAGAAAAATATTTTATTTTATAGATTTTGTTCAGAAACATATAACAGATGAGGCTTCTATAGTTTTCTGTTAAATTTATATGTATACCATGCTTAAACATTTTTAACAAATACTACAGTTTTCTATATAATGTAGTAACAATGTTCTATACTACAGATTTCATAATTTGGCGATGTCTATTATTCATACTACAGTTTACTATAGAATTTAGTGATGTAGTTTTCCTTAATTTACTGTGATACTAAATGACAAATTAAAATAAGCTTTACCACGAAAAAAAATAAAATAAAATCTTAAAATAATATTTTTAATGTAGCGCATATAATATGAATGAAATAGTAATACATGTTGACACTCTTAGAAATTCCCCACCCCACCCTCCCAAAAAATGCCAGTAAATGTAGATCTTCACAACAAAAACAAAATAGATATTAAATTATTCTAAAGATAAGACAATGAAATAAATTAAGACAGTCTGACTGTTGGGTGATCCTGCTAGTTAGATTTTAATGACTATAGCAGATTCTGTACTCAAATTATATAATTTGTTGAAGCCAGCAGGTCAATCGTGCATACCTGTTGACAAACTATAATTACCAACCAATTTACTCTCTTGAAATCTGTTTGGTCATGGGCTGACTATTAAATTCTAAAATTCAAGGTATAAACTGACTAAAGACCCAAAGATAAGTATACTTTATTACATTCTCAACAATAATATTAAGATAGATAAGATTGATGTGATTTTGTTGTTTACTTAACTTTATTCAACTATTCTTTTCCCTGTAATTCAGTTATACTAAGAAGAAAACTTGTCTTACATAATGTATGTTTGATGCCAATCATCAGTGTGGCCTCACTAATCCTTTATATGTACCTTGCCATGCATGGATTCTGCTTTGTTGTTATTGCATGTGTGTATATATAATTGCCCTACACATTTGTCACATCTGGCTTGTGGTTGTGGTTTCGATCCCTGATGTGAGAGTATGTGGCAGGAGATAGGGGCACCTTCTAAACCTTGTGGGTTTACTCCGGGTACTCCAATTTCCTCCCACAGGAAAGACCCTTGCACGTGTGCTAAGAAAATGAAAATAAGACAAGTGCGATATCACCTTCAGTGGAAGCGGACGTTAAACACTTAAGAACAACAACATTTGTTACTGTACTTGCTTAATGACACTGAGACAATATTCCATGAAACGTGGCCTAAATAAATCAGTAATTGTTCTTCCATTAGTATATGTTATAGTATGATAGATTTGGTTAAACTAGACTAGTGTCAGCTGTACGCGATTGGTTGACATTTAAATTTATTAGAATTCATTCAGCCAATAAAATGGCCTCAACCACTCTCTTGGTTAAACTGAATATGTCTAAACACAAATGAGAGGTATCAGTCTATTATCAGAACCAACCTCGTGGGTTTTCTCCGAGTTCTGCAGTTTCCTCCAACTGATAAAGATAATTATTGAAATAAAATTGAACCATATGTTAGTCCCATAATGACAGAGCTTGTGTGTCTCTCTCTCTATTATAAGAATCAAACAGGGTTTCAGTCAGGAACCAAAGCATGAATTTTTAAATATTAAGCACATAAAAAAATCTTGTATTCATTTGCTTGGCTTTTTCACAGAATGTTTTTTAGAAGGAGTTAAGGCTCTTGTTCTTGTGGTGGATTTAGAATTTGTCTTTTTAGCTGAACTTTTGGGTTTTGAGCAACTTTCTTCTTTTTTCTCAGGTTCTTGACTTTCTTCCTGGTAAAATAAATTATTTTTATTGAGAAAAGATGACATTTGTATACAAATCAAACTTTAAAAAAGATGTATATATATTTAGATTTAGATTTTAAAATATGAAAGTCATCCTCAAATCAAGGAAAGCCTCTGAGTTGAAACGATTGACATGGGTTCATAATTTGATCGACTTTTGGCAAAGGGTTTCTCATGTAGCCGTTTATTGGTGACTGTTTGGTTTTAACAAGGACTGGGTAGGAATCGTACCTTGATTGAAGTTTGAAACTTGTTGAATATTTATAGTTAATTTAACTTGTGTAGTCACTCAGAATAGAAATCGGAATGCGAGAGAGAGAGAAATGGGGTTTAACATCCACTCGACACAACTTAGGTCATTTTGGGACTAACACGTACACAGTTCAATTTTTATTTCAGTAATTCGCTTGTACATAGGGGTCTTTAGCAGTGGGAGGAAACCAGAGGACCCGGGAAAAACTCACGAGGTTTAACAGGTGACCCTACTCGTCACGTACAACCAGGGAATCGAAACCACACAGCTTGACTCAATGACAGACCTTATGATGCAAAACGCACATGTTAACCATTCGACCATCCAAACATCAATGCATTGGTTAATCAAATGTCCGACGTCATAGGGACAAAGTCGCTCGATGACCTCTGACACGACCTTCCACTACAACCGATCAGATCTTCATGTAGTGTAGGCCATCGTAAGTATAAAAAAACAAAATGAAATTTAGATCTGTGTTTTAATCAGATCGAGTTATTATAAGATGCCCCAAAAAAACCCTACTGATGATTTGATTCCATTCTGTCTCTGAGTACTAACACCTTCTCCAATTTTCTTTGGGTCACTGCAACCACCATTTTGATCACTGCAACTACCATTTTGTTTGATTAATTCATCAAGTTCTTCCTAGAAAAAAACAAAAACTTTCAAAATTGATTTGTCAATATTTGGCATCCACTGCAGAAGATATAAACAAGCCAGGGCCACATATGATTTTCTTTGAAATATTTTGAGGGTATCTTTTTTATCTGATTCAATCCAGAGAAAGAGAGAGGGAGAGAGAGAGAGAGAGAGAGAGAGAAAGGGTTTAACGACCACTCAACACAAACTAGATCTTTTCGGGCCTAACATATGGGTCAATTTCATTTCAATAATTCATTTGCATGTAGCGTACTTTAGCAGTGGGAGGAAACCGGAGAACCCGGAGAAAACCCTACTCCTTGTCTTGTACAACCGTGGAATTGAAACCACGCCAGTTGACTCAATGACAGAACTTTCACGTGCATGCATTAAACAACTAGACCCCCCCCCCCCCCCTGCCGCACAGACTGAATCCAAGCTGGAATATTATCTATTATCTACTGTTTATATTTTGATTTTGTTTGTACATTTAGCCTATGTTCTGAAAACTGTAAATAACATTCAGAGGTTTTAAGTCATTTTTTTAATGATGAGATTAAAAGTTTTAATCTAATCATTTAAAAAATTTCTTAAAACCTAACTTACCCCCCATCCTATCAAATCTGCTAATTCTCGACATCCATCATCACATGTTGCTTGTTTAAATACATCCCTGTTAAATAAATACAGGTAAAAATTAACGAGTATTCTGCTTACTTACTAACCCAGGCCCTGGATTCAATCTTATATTTGGCTTCAGCCGTTTGATGTTTGAATAGGCCAACTATGGAATCATAAATCAATCTACTTTCAGGTAAATTACAACAGGTTAAATATCACTTGTTGATCAAGAGATCAATCAACTGGCTTGTCAGTCATACCTTTATGAGAATCATATTATGATCAGAATAATTAGAGCATTTAATGGTAATTTTGATAATCCTGTAAATAAAAAAGAAAAAAAGGTTGCTGATTATTCATCCGAGAACTTCCATCCCTGAGGATGCGATTCCTGAGGATTTTACGAGGATTGGCATGCCCATAAAGGAACCCTTGGCAATTAGAATTTAAAGAAGAGCAATTGGAAATAGTACACAATCTACATGTAGTTGAAGACTAAAGGGAGATTACTCATATAAATGCCCAGTGTTTCATATAATATAATTCACTGACCTGTATTTCTCCTCTGAATCAAAGTCAAAAGTATGTCCAAACATTAAAGCCATCATCATATTGGCCTAAATAAATACAAAATTGTAAAGTCTTGTGTTCTTTGTGAGATTCATTTAAAGGAGCTAAATCGCTAATATTTTGGACCTAGAAATTGACACAAATGGGTCGCAACGCATATATTATATTAATATGAATGTACATAAACTGATTTACATTCAATCGTTTCCATTTTTACTCTAATTCTAAATCAGTTATGTTCAGCGAAATACGCCAGAAGTCTCAATCGAATGGCAATTTCTAGTGTCTGGTTATTCCAGTCTACAGCGATAGCCTTTATTGTGCATGCTCTCCAGATAAGAATATGACATCACTGTTTGACATGACTTGTGGAATATATCTAACAAGTCCCTTGTTACAAATGGCGCTGAAATGCATTATGCTACACGATTCGTATACCAATGGTAAAATGTTTATTGACCCTATTTAAAAATATTGAATATCAGAAGCCCATCTTTTCCTGGTAAGATCACAACATCAATGTTGATTTTAATTGACAAATAATTCGTGTTTTTAATATCGAAGACTTTGGATGATATTGAGTTAGAGACTAAGCAACATTTAAAGATAACATGTACTGTACTTACACCAGGGGGATCTGGGGGTTCCAGGTTTATATAGAGTCTCGGAACATTAACCCATACTCTACAAAATATTTAATATAAATATTTACTCAAATACAATACATTAAATATTTCTTAACAGTTTAATATTAATCATTTAAAAATGAAATGGTTAATACAGAATTTGATTCCTTAAACACTTAAGTCAACGTTAAAATGAAAATTTAAATGTAGGGGTGGGGGGGATTATAAAATGTTCATTGTGTCTTAATTACTGGATATTAGATCCTACAGTTTCACAGAGAGATAACAACATTAATATTGGTTGAAATTGACCGAAATTGAATTCTAATTTGTGTTTTTAATTTCAAATATTATGGAAAATATTCAGTTCGAGGTTTAGTTTCTTTAAGATTACTGTTATACTTACTTGGATGATAAATTTCTAAATGGTTGGTCTTTAACAGAAGCTCCTAATATAATCAATAAATCACAAATACAAAAATCCTGCAAGATAATAGATTTTTTTTTTATAAGCAATATTTTTATTCAGAGTTGTATCCGAATACGGATTGGGGAACAAGCAGAGCCTATATTAAACCCCTCTACCTAAGATAATAGATTAACTATATAACTATAAAAACAAAACAATATAATACATATTACAAACAGAGAGACAGAAATGGTGTTTAACGTCCACTCGACACAAACTAGGTCATTTTGGGACCAACATATGGTTCAACTTTATTGCAATAATTCGCTTGCGCTTAGGGGTCTTTAGCAGTGGGAGGAAATCGGAGGTCTCTACTCCTTGTCACGTACAACCGGGGAATCGAAACCACAACAGTTGACTAAATGACAACCCCCTCTATATTACAATCAAAACTATATACTACATATGTATATTATAAACAATAGGCACAAATACTATAATAATATTTTCTCAAGATATTCGAGGTATGCTCCAGAAATAAAAAGTGCAACAGCAGAATAGATGTCGGAGCCAATTTCAAATATCTCCGCCTTAACTTCAATAAAAAAGATACATTTTGTAGTGATGTAAATTTGCAAAAAAAAACAAAAAAAAACCTGATGTAACGGTAGCATACAAAAACAGCCTTACCTCACTGGCCAGTTCTTCAAGCCATGGAGGAAATTGTTCACCTTGAAATAAAATATCTGGAATACACATTAGATTAATCTCATCAAATATATTAATTAGTAGTAATAAATAGATCTATAAACATATTAATTAATCTTTATTAAATATATTAATTAGTAGTAATAAACAGATCTATAGACATATTAAACACACAATTCAACAGTGACAAATTTCAGAAGGGGTCATTATAGAAGATTAAATAAAGAGCTATAATAGTTAAAAAAAACAAAAAAAAACAGATAATGTAAAGGGAATATACTGAAAAATTTCCGTCAAATTACTTCACTCTGAGCCAAGAAATCCTCATTTCAATAACACTATAGCCTCCATTTTTACGGTTAATCATCAATCATCATTAGTTGAAAATCGGACCCATCAGATGGTATCGAGAGTTGATTATGGTCTGGATAAGTTAATTAATGTCTAATTAATAGCTTATATAACATTTCAGGCCTAAAGAAAGACCTGCAATAGGCAGATTTAGCTCTTGCATAATGTATGTTTAATAAACTAGCATGATCACGGTTTTCTTTTCATATTTAGAAATGAAATTGGGTTTAATGTCCTACTGTTCTGCTCCAACTGGGCTAATGAAGACAGGCACCATTCACAAGGGGGAATCAGAGGTGGGAACATGAGTCCTGCGACTTAGACTTGAGTTCAACTTAAGTCACATCCCCCAAGAAATAAGTAAAATTTTGATAGATGTACACAAAGAAAAAAAAAATCAAATTGTTCTGGCCTTAGCTGTATCTTTTCTATTTTTGCCAAATGATTTTATTAAAGAAAATGTTATCTGACTGTGGATTATGATAAATTAAATCTATCAATCTTGCCTGGTTTAACAATTCCTTTACAATTTTCTTCCAGACATTCAGGTTCCACACCAGTCAGTATTTTTTCTACAACAGAAAAAAAACAACATTGTTTCAGGCACAAATCCCTTAGAAATCCCTTCTATTTAATAATTGCAGATACAATTTCCACGGGATAAAATGAAATAGGGTTTAATGTTTTACGGCTAATGAAAACAGGGAGAGGTCATATGCCATGCAGTGTGCTATAATAAGGGAAATTTTACCAAGACCGGCTCTTATTTTGGTTTCAAATTGTCAGGGTATCTTTAATAAGGTCCTACCAATAGTATAGTCTTTCATTCCATCCACTGATTCTTGTTCATTACCAAGCCCTCCATCCTGCACCACGGACAAGGGTGAGAGAGAGAAATGGAGTTTAACGTCCACTCAACACAATCTAGATAATTTTGGGACAAACATATGGTTCAATTTTATTTCAATAATTCGTAGGTGTCTTTCGCAGTGGGCAGAAACCGGAGGACCTGGAGAAAAGGTTGGACCCTACTCCTTATCACGTACAAGCGGGGAATCAAATCCACACCAATTGACTCAATGACAGACCTTATGATGCAACCAACGCGCATGCATTAATCATTCGGCCACCTATTTTAATAAAAAAAAAAAACGAAAAAAATAAATCCTGTCTATTTCACACATAACACTGTAAAAACTTCATAGATGAAATATCTACATAGTGTAATAAGATGTAAATTGTATAAAATAAACCTTTTAACCAATCTTGAGAATAAACCTGATTACATTCGATACAATACGATGTTGTTATAGATCCATAAAATTCAGCTAATTGTTCCATGGGTAATCCAGCAAGTTTATCTAATGAATCTATATTCTACAATAGAAAATTACCATCAGATATAAATATAATCTGTTCTACAATAGAAAGTTACCATCAAATATAAATATAATCTGTTCTACAATAGAAAGTTACCATCAGATATAAATATTCTGTTCTACAATAGAAAGTTACCATCAGATATAAATATAATCTGTTCTACAATAGAAAATTACCATCAGATATAAATATAATCTGTTCTACAATAGAAAGTTACCATCAGATATAAATTAATCTAGTTACCATTAGATATAATTATAAACTTATTTATTCTACAATAGAAAGTTACCATCAGATATAATTATAAACCAATCTGTACTATGAAATAAAATGGGGTTTAACGTCCTACTGTTTTGCTCCAAACTGGGCTAATGAAGACAGGCATATGCCATACAAGTGTGCTATGAGGGAAATTTTGCCCAGGCAGCGACACTATGGCCCATATGTCGAATTCCAACTGTCAAGGGATCTTTTACGTGCATGCCAATGTATATACGGGACCTCAGTTTTTTGTATCATCTGAACAACTTGACAGCTGTCCTTATCAGGCCCTCCGTCCTGCACCACTGACACGGGGGAAACCATGTCGGAAATTCCTGATAAACTTTCTCTGCCATGAGTGGATTGAACATGTGACCTCCAAGCTAGCGAGCCAGCATCTTGTCCACCTAGCCACCGGGGCTCCCTACTAATTGAGTATATGTAGAAGACCTACTTGTGTATAGTGTCTCAACAATAATCCCTTCTCATGTAATAAACGTATAAAATAATGACACAATGTAGGCTGAAATATATATATAAAAACACATAAACTTATTTAGAAACAGTCATTATGGTGTAGAATATAAAACACATAAACTTATTTAGAAACAGTCATTATGGTGTAGAATATAATAGATATAACCTTATTTAGAAACAGTCATTATGGTGTAGAATATAATAGATATACATAACCTTATTTAGAAAATAAAACTTAAAGATACATTATGGGAGATTTCAGTAAAATTGATCCACTCTGAACCGAGAATTTAGCGATTCAATTTTGGGCCTAGCCTCGTTCATCATTACTAAAGTCGGTACGATAAAAAACAAAGTCTTGATTATCTATTTTATGATTCAGAAGCAGCAGACGGGTTCTAATCCAGTAAATATTGTAAGCTAGCGATGACATTGAGAGTTGATTATGGTCTGGATAAGTTAATTAATGTCTAATTAATAATTTAGATAACATTTCAGGCCTTAAAAAAAGATCAGCAATAGGCAGATTTAGCTCTTGTATAATGTATGTTTAAATCTTTTGAGCATCAAGGGAAGTAAATCTGATAGTTACTATCAAAAATCAATGCCAAAATTTCAAGGCAGTTGCATGCTAACTTTGGCCATTAAAGATAATATCCACAAGCAATGGATGGAACCATATTTCAATGCTTTATTACCACTCAGCCACCCAACCACCCAGAATCTAAGTTATGTACATATCATTACAAATTAATCTTTATAAAAAAACATATAGGCTACCTTTAGATTTTCTGGAAACAATTTTTTCAGCCATTTGTAGAAAATGTCTGGATTATCCTGAAATTAAATTGAAAGATTTTGATTTTTCATGCAATATTTTCATTAATTATTTGGTATTTTAGCCTATAACCTGATCCATGGTTGAAAAATCATTATTCCATAATAACTGATGTAAATCTCCTCAGTCATGATTTACCCTTGTTTCAAATAAGGGAGCAATGGTGGCTCAGTGATAAAGGTGCCTGCTCATTACCCAGGAGGTTCGATGATTGGTATTGGCTGAAAAGGTACCTTGAGGTTTTTCAAGAGGGTTCCCCTGTCTAATCATTCAGAACGGACGAAAATGAGAGAAAGAGAAATGGGGTTAATGTCCACTTGACACAAACTAGGTAATTTCGGGACTAGCATATGGGTTTGATTTTATTTCAATAATTCGCTTGTGTCTGTAGGGGTCTTTAATTAGCAGTGGGAGGAAACCAGTGGACCTGAAGAAAACCCACCAGATTGGACAGACGATCCTATTCTTGTCACATTTAAGTGGGGATTCGAAACCACGCCACTTGATTGAATGACAGACCTTGTGATTTCACGCGCACGAGTTAAACCACTAAAGCACCCATCTATGCATTGGCGTGCATATCTTCATTAGCCCACAGTAGAACAGTAGGACGTTAAAAGAAATAAAATGAAATAGGGTTTAACATCCTAACGAAGAAGGGCATATATGCCATACAGTGTACTATGAGGGAAAGTTTGCCCGGGCAGTGGCACTAAAGCCTACTCTTATATCGTACAAAAACTGTCAAGGGATCTTTTACGTGCACATCAACGTATACACAGGACCTCATTTTTTTCATCCAATCCGAACGACTAAACAGCTGTCCTTGTCAGGCCCTCTGTCCTGCACCACTGACAAGAGAAAACCACGTCGGAAAATCCTGATGAACTTTCTTGGCCAACTCCAGGATCGAACACCCGACCTCCAGACTAGTGAGCCAGCGTCTTATGCACTTAGCAACCGTGGCTTCCTCATACCACACTGTATGGTGTACGCCTGTCTTCATTAGCCGAGTAGGAGCAAAATTGTAGGACGTTAAACCCCATTTCATTTCATTTACTTTTGATCAATTAAATTTTCCTAAGTATGTATTTTCCTAAGTATGTTACCTACCAATGAGAGTATTCAGCTGTCATTCTGAGATTCTTAATTCGCGATCAGCTATGAAGGTCAATTTTAGTTTTAGTAACACGCCTCGACCAATTAAAAATCAGGGCTTTCGCCAACATGATGTCATTGACCTCATTTCGTCTTACTTCCGGTCCGTCGAAGATACAAATAGCCAAATGATCACACTTCAAGTTTGATTTGTAATTAACCAGTTAATTATATTTTCTTTCAAATAAATATTCCATTATGTTGCTTACATTAAAATGTTCTATTGTATAATGTTGTTCTTTTTCATTATCATATAAACCACCATCTTGACTTCTATAATCTGGTAACCCAGCAGCTATACAAATAAACATAATCACATAATATATCACTACATCCACCCAACACAAACTAGATCATTTCAGGACTAACATGGTACAATTTTATTTCAGTAATTCGCTTTTGCGAAGGGGTCTTTAGCAGTGTGAAAAAAGCAGAGGACCACGAGAAAAACCAACGATATTTGTCAGACGACCCTACTACTTGTTGCATACACAATAGAGTGAGAAATAGGGTTTAACCTCCACTTGATACAAACTAGGTCATTTCAGGTCTAACACGTGGTTTTAATTTTATTTCAATAATTCGCTTGTGCGTAGGGGTCCTTAGCAGTGGGAGGAAGGAAGCCTGAGGACCCAGAGAAAGCCCACAAGGCTGGACAGACGACCCTACTCCTTGTCACATACAACCGAGGAATCGAAGTCACGCCATCCAACCCCCCTTATTGCAACAAGCTTGAAACCCCACCAGATGGCCAAATGGTTAACACGTGCACGCTGTATCATAAAGTCTGTCATTGAGTCAACTGGCGTGGTTTCAATTCCACGGTTGTATGTGACAAGGAGTAGGGTCGCCTGTCCAACCCCGTGGGTTTTCTCCAGGTCCTCTGGTTTATTCCCACTGCTAAAGACCCCTACGCACAAGCGAAGGTTAAACTCTCTCTCTCTCTCCCTCCCTCTTCTCACTCTCTCTCTCCCTCCCCCCTGCCCCCACCCTCCCTCCCTCCCTCTCTCTCTCTCTCTCTCTCTCTCTCTCTCTCTCTCTCTCTCTCTCTCTCTTTCTCTTGATCTAGAGTGCTGGTTCCAAATAATCCAATCCTCGGTAAGAATTACAAACCAACTTACATGTAGAGATACCAGCACCAGCCATTGTGATGATGTTTTTACATTTATTATCTTTAATATATTTCGCCACACCTTCAACACTCACTTCATCTAAAACTCTTAAACTTTCCGGATCACTCAAACCAAACGCCAATCGTAAATAACCCTGTATCCATTCATGATCTGAAATAAAATATTACCAACAAATATGGTCAATGGTAAATTGGACCGAAGTTGAATCCAATATGGCCAACGTATATAATAATAATAATAAAAACTTTATTTAATGAGCCAACTTATTTAGTTTGCAAAAAAACTAATCTTCCATAAGTCCCTCCTAAGCTACAAAGACATACATATACATATAATATCAGGATAAATTCAAAATCATTTGAAATGCAATAGCATTCTAAAGTGAGAAGTTTGGGAAGTCACTCCTAAACTATTAATCAGTCTACTTGGGGAATACCAACCCTAACCCTTTTTAGAACACTCAACTTGGCTCTAATTTACCTTTTACACTTCTAAAATGGGTTAGGGTTAGGTTTGGTATTATCCAATATACTCATTAATATGCAGCGACCATGCTGAACTCAACTTGGGTCCAATTTACCATTGACCCAACAAATATCTTATTTGAAGACTAAAGGGGAATAACTCAATATAAACTTTCTGGATAACTTAAATCAAAGCCAAGAGCTAATCTCTGATAAACTTGTATCCTGTTATTATCTACTATAAAAAAATAACAATATTTCAGAATCAATTTTGAAGACTAAAGGGGGATAACTCAACATTTTGAAGACTAAAGGGGGATAACTCAATATACTTTTTAATTTATTTTTTTGAGCAAATGCAACTAATAATTGACATTAAATAATCATGTGTTTTTCAATATCTAACTCAAATAAAAGTTAAGAATGTGCTCCACTTCCTTAAATATATATATGAAGATTATTAGTGGTGAAGGACGGAGGGCCTGACAAGGACAGCAGTCTAGTCGTTCGGATAGGACGAAAAAACGAGGTCCTGTGTACACATCGGCATGCACGTAAAAGTCGGCCATAGTGCCGCTGCCCGGGCAAAATTACCCACATAGCACACTGTATAGCAGATGCCCGTCTTCATTAGCCCAGTCAGGAACAGAACAGTAGGACATTAAACCCCATTTCATTTCGTTTTTACATTTGTATGTTCGGAAATGAGCCATGGTTGTATTAATTGGTTCAATAACTAGGGAGTCCCAGGTTTAATTCTGGTGTTGGTTGAAAAATTTCCTTAGGATTATCAAGCCTGGTTTCCCCATGTCGATGGAGCTGGCCCGGAAAGGAAAAGTGCCTAGTAGTTCGCAAGGGACAAAAAACTGAGATCTTGTGTACATATTGACCTGACCCTTAAAGAACATAATTTGGTAGTTAGAATTCAAAGAAGAAAGAAAGAGAGAGAGAGAGTGATGGGGTTTAACATCCACTCGAGACAAACTTGGTCATAGGTTTCAATTTTATTTCATTAATTAGCAGTGGGAGGAAACCGGAAACCCGGAGAAAATCCACGAGGTCGGACAGGCGATCCTGTTTCTTGTCACGTGCAAGCGGGAAATAAATAAACACACCACTTGACTCCATGACAGACCTAATGAAGCAATACGCTCACGTTAACCATTCGGCCACCCAAGCCTTGAATTTAAAGAAGAGAAGGTATAAATGTCAGTATTCAGGCAAAATGTCACTCATAGCAGAGGCGGATTCAATGGGGGGCGCGAGGGGTGCGCGCCCCCCCTAATTTTCGACAGTGCCCTTTTTTACTGCTGAAAGTGCCTTTTCTCAGACTCAAATATGTCAGTTCCCAACCCGTTGTAGGAATCCCAAATGACTCAAACCATCGACTCAAACACACCAGTCTGGGAAATAGCTCTTGGAATGGCTACAGATGCAAGGAAATGACGGATAATTTTCTTTGGGACCCCCCCCCCCCCAGCGGCATGCCCCCCAATCTCCGCGGTCAATGCCTTCATTTTGCAGCGCCCCCGCTTTTCAAAATTCCTAGATCCGCCCCTGCATAGCACACTGCATGGCATCTTCCCGTCTCCATTAGCCCAGTTGGTGAAAAAACGTAGGATGTTAAACTCCATTACATTCTGACTCCTCAGTTCTGTGAAAGCAAATAGCTTGTGCATTTGAATGTAAGATCTGTCATTAAGTCAAGTGGCGTTTTTTCGATTCCCCGCTTGTACATGACAAGGACTTGGGTCACCTGTTCAACCTCGTGGGTTTTCTCCAGGTCCACCAGTTTCCTCCCACTGAAAAAACACTGCTACACGCTTACGAATTTTTGAAATAAAATTTAACCAAATGACCTAGTTTGTGTCAAGTGGACATTAAACTCAGTAATTGTGTATCCATAAAATTATACCCTGTGTTAATGTGTTATTACTAAATACCAATCAAAGAAGATTAACATCAGCATATACTGCATTTTATGTGTCTAATTTTGAGAAAAGTTGTCTTACTTTTTTTATCTTTCTGTTCAGTAGTTGGATTATCTTTAGGTGAAGGTTTATCTCGAGGTTTATAAGTATTACAACATTTATCAGAATTATCTTTTACCTGCAACAATTAAAGGTATCTTTTACCTGCAATCATTTAAAGGTATCTTATACCTGCAATCATTAAAGGTATCTTTTACCTGCAATCATTAAAGGTATCTTTTACCTGCAACGATTAAAGGTATCTTTTACCTGCAACAATTAAAGGTATCTTTTACCTGCAATCATTAAAGGTATCTTTTACCTGCAATCATTAAAGGTATATTAAAGGTACATTATTGACAAATATGGACTATTTTAAACATATCTAAAGCATTATTGACAACTATAAATGAACATAAAAGGGAACAGTATTGCATTTAATTTTGGTGATAATATATCATAAGCTTTTGAGTAGAGTCACATGGTAGCTAAACTACTGAATAGTATAAATATATTATTACGATCGTTAATTTTAATACTAAATATTGAATTTGAACTAAATCAACAATACCAATAAATGTTATATATTCTGCAGCATTAACTTACAGCCATGGAGAATATTTATAAATCTTTTATGTCTACTGGTGCAGTGTCTAGTCCCATTTGGATGTTGGTGTGCACGTAAAAGATCCCTTGATTGTTGATATTCAAAATAAGAGTAGACCGTAGAGCCGCTGTCCGGGCAAAATTGCCTACATAGCCAATATGATTAAAACACAGGTCCTACTTTGTTTCGGTTTTTTATAGTTCAAATTTCATTTTACTTGTCTTTACTACACTAGGATCCGGAAGAGTTGTTATATAACCTGCATTCTAGTTGATGTGATGGATTAGCCAATGAAACTGTCTGTTACGACAAGTTCTTGGCGTGTTGTGCACGGATCTGTGGGTATCCCACAAGAAACATCAACGCTGATTGGTTAATTAAATGTCTGACATCATAGGTCAAAAGCCGCTTGTATGACCTCTGACACAACCTTCCACTACAACTGGTCAGATCTTCATGTAGTGTATGCCATCAAAAGTATAAAAAAAAACGCAAAGGAATATAGATCTGTATTTCAATCAAACTGTCTGCATAGCGTATTCCAGATCGGAGCGGAAAAGTTGGACGTTATAAGCCCCATTTCATTTCATATCTACTGATAGGCCTACTGTTGTTGTTTTTTATGCCAAAGTTTAAGTAAATCAGAAATAGATAAAATGGATAAACCGAAATTCACTTACTGATTCACAAAATGTAACCTTCTTCATGATTTTTATCTCATCTGTTGATTCTGCCATAGTAATGTCACACATTCACACGGAAGGGTAGGCTTACTCTTTGCAGACCACTTGATACCACTTGGTCTAGATAAATAGTATTGATAGGTGTTGTACACGTGACAGGGTATGCTTACACTTTCTAAAACACCTGATACCACCTAGTCTAGATATATAGTATTGATAGGTGTTGTACATGAGTCAGGGTATGCTTACTCTATCTAGAACATCTGATACCACCTAGTCTATATATATATATATATATATATATATATATATATATATATATATATATATATATATATATTATTGATAGATGTTGTACATGAGGTAGAGTATGCCCACTCTTTCTAGAACACCTGGTATCACTTAGTCTAGATATATAGTATTGGTAGAGTATGCCCACTCTTTCTAGAACACCTGGTATCACTTAGTCTAGATATATAGTATTGGTAGGTGTGTGCGTATGTTGCTTGAAGATAGGGGCACCTTCTCAACCTCGTGAGTTTACTCCGGGTACTCTGGTTTCCTCCCACAGGAAAGACCTCTGCGCGTGCGCTAAGATAATAAAAATGAAAAATAAGACTAGTCTGCGATATCACCTTCGGTGGAAGCGGACATTAAACACGAAGAACAACAACATCTAGGAAGTTCCAATAGTTGTCACTTTTCATTTTACTTGATAGCCTATCACTTAAATAATTGTTTTTTCATTAAAGGGGGGTTGGATAGCCGAATGGTTAGCACGTACATACTGTATCATAAAGTCTGTCATTGAGTAAACAGGCGTGGTTTTGATTCCCCAGTTGTACATGACAAGGAGTAGGGTCGATTGTCCAATCTAAAGGGTTTTCTCCGAGTTCTCCAGTTTCCTCCCTCTGCTAAAGACCCCTACGCGCAAGCGAATTATTGAAATAAAATCGAACCATATGTTAGTCCAGAAATGAACTAGTTGGAAATAATAAACAGTACAAATTAATGACATTTAATAGTAGGCCTAATTGAACTCATTAATACACATGACAGTTCCATCAAAAACAATTACCATACTCTTAATTGAAGCTACGTTTTTCAGTACCATATAGGGCCTAGAACCTGTTTACTGAAGTTTTTTTTATCTTATAAACAAACCAAAACAAATACATGTCATGGGTAGCCATGTTGAATGAAGTATGTTCTATAAATAGCTGTGTCTATATATATCATAGCCTACCTTATAATTATACCGGTATTATATTGTTAGTGATAGATAATCGATCTGTATAGACCCTCGGCTTATCAGTGAGTGTACCACTATATATACTACCCATATTTTACCTGTACCAAGCAAGAAAGTTAGAGTGATAAATGGGGTTTAAGCTCCACTCAACACAAACTAGGTCATTTTGGGACTAACATATAATTTGCATTATCAGTGGGAAGAAACCAGAGAACCAGCTTGTTCCTGATAGAGCCAGAGGCATGCAGCGTCAAATCTAGGGCGCCATTCACAATCCCACCCCACAATGAATGTCAACAAAATACTGGCTATGTCTGAGATCCCCGGTAGCAGTTTTATTCAAGTTGACATAAAGTTCATGTCATAATATGATTGTTATTGATTTTTGTCAACCTTATAGACATTGTCTCACGGGTGTGTGTGTGTGTGTGTGGGGGGGGGGGGGGGGGGTTACTTGATCTCATGCCCCCCCCCCCACCAAATCCGCGCCTGATAACAGTTTAAAATCACCTCAGTTTAGTTAATGTATCAATCTGCATTCAGTGTGTGGGCCTACAACTTTAAACTCACGACACTAGCTGTAGCCTAGGCTATATAAATCTGTATTCATTGAGTACTAGATTAACAGTTTAAAACCATCTTAGTCCGGCAGCAGGTCGACAAACCTGGAAATATAATCCACCGAAAACCTATATTTCAGTATATTACACACCGTCAAACAACTTTTTATGGAACTTTATAAGTTTCCCGCCAAGATCAGCCTCCATTTTGAATTTGGCCCCCTAGCGGAATTAGCCGTCACTTTTTGGAGGAATACCCAAGCTCACTGGATTCAGCGGGTCGATGTCTTATAGAAACCATCTACAAACCAATGTCCGAAGAATCTGTTAAATAATTTACCCCACTAAATAACCAGAAAATGCCTCATGGCGGCCATCTTGAATATTTAAATTTCCCCAAGTTAGCCAGGGTGGCATATTGAAGATATATAATCCACCAAAAACATTGGGTGGACTAGCCTATATTTCCACGTTGGCAACCGGACTAGCCCTAACTTTCTGATAATCCAGAAAATATTATTGTTTTACCCAAACAAAATTATCAAGGAAATTTTTAGCCAGACCCGAATGCACTTTAAAATGACCAAACTGCCATTGAAAAAGCTTAATCGATGTCCACTCTTTCGATAAAAAAGCATTCGGCCTACATTTTCAAACTACCGTAACGTGGGAAACAAACTGAAACATCAGTGATGTCATAAGACATGATGACATCACCGAGTTAAGCTTAATGATCTTTTCTTGGTAACATAAATATAACTGTTTCTTCTTCAAGAAGGAGATGGGCTTTAACATCCACTCAACACAAACTAGGTCATTTTGGGATTAAAATATGGTTCAGTTTTATTTCAGTAATTCACATGCGCATAGAGTTCGTTAGCAGTGGGAGGAAACCGGAGAAATCACACGAGATTGGACAGTTGACCCTACCCCATGGCACCATGACACGTGACCCAATTGCAGACCCTTTGATCTTATCGAAAATCAACATTCCGTTATGCCCCATATCCGAAACTTTTGTGAATCCGGTAACAGTTTTATTACAGATCAAAAGAATTTTATACAACTGGACTGAACTAAAAGATACATCCCGCTGAACATTCTCTAATATCTCTAAATAACTGACCATTCTGTTTAAAATACAAATCTATATTTCGTTTCTTTTTTTATACTTTCGATGGCCTACTACGCGAAGATCTGACCAGTTGTAGTGGAAGGTCGCGTCAGGTGTCATACGAGCGGTTTTTAACGTTATGACGTCAGACATTGATTAACCAATCAGCGTTGATGTTTCTACTGGGATAACCACAGTTCCGTGCAATTCACGCCAAAAACTCGTCGTAATAAACCGTTTCATTGGCTGCGCGAGGCGAAGGAGCTGAGCTTAGCGTGTAGGACCCCCCCCCCCCTCCCTTAAAGATAATTTTGAAAATTTGACGGTCGCAGACACGTTTTCCTGGCGCGAATCGTGATAGCGGGATATTGGATTAAGACGGTTGTATTAACATCTTCTATTTTTATTTTACACCTCACTGGTTTGCGCAAATAAAATTAATTGTCAGACCGTTTATGCCCCAAGGTTTAAAAATAAAATAGATATTTGAGTAACGAACTTGTTGAATAAGTATGCCAATAGTAATATATAATATAAAGAAGACGATGAATGAAAGTGTATACGTATGTATAACATCAACGATAAATCAATTCATTATATTATACGTTTGGAGCATGACGTTATTATTAAATTAGAAGCCCATTATGAAGGGTGTTTCACGTTTCACTGAGTGTCCTTTTATCAAGATAAATCTAGAAATAGCAGATAAATCTATACATAAAAATGGTCCCGTGATGCATAGGCTTACGAGCTCGATAAATGTTTGAAAATTTATCTGCAGCAAACACGTTTTCCTGATAGACAAGCCCACACTGATCAGCAGTGAATATTTGCTAGGCCGCTACAATCACTGATAATAGAGAGAGAGAGAGAGGGAGAGAAATGGGGTTTAACGTCCACTCGACACAAACTAGGTCATTTCGGGACTAACACATGGTTTTAATTTTATTTTAATAATTCGCTTGCGCGTAGGGGTCTTTAGCAGTGGGAGGAAACCGGAGAACCCGGAGAAAACCCACGAGGTTGGACAGGCGACACTGATAATAGTCTGGAGGCTCAGTGGGGGGGGGGGGGGTGAGCGGGTGTCCATCAAATGGGCAAAAAACCAGACCAAACTATTCTAGAGTAAAATTTTGCGTAGAATACGATGCCGAGTAGCAATCACCCCCCCTTGAGGCGTCTTCGAGATATTTGGGATCAAAGGTCAAATGAGGTCATTTGCACTGAAAGTGAATGCGCAGCCATTCTTATAGATCATGAAAACATGCTAAAAATGATCGAAGTTGTAAAGTTTCTAAATTCACCTTTGTTCCTTGTGACCCCGGGTGTCAAAAGTTCCAATATATTCCGGCAAAATTCATGAAAATTCATAAAAAATCGCGTCGTCAGATACGGGTTTTCCGGTCACAGATTAACGTCGGTTTTGCCACATTGGGATTCTCGAAAATCCACGCGGCCTGCAGGCTGGAGCCCAACCATGAAACTATTTAATTGTTTTTCCGACAACTTTTGAAATTCAAGAGAACTTTAATCTTAGCAAGGTAATTTTTTAAATTCTGCTCGGTGTTGTAGTGAATTTGTCTGCGTTATCACCGTCCGTGGAACCGGACGTTAAACCCCAAGAACGAACGAAATTGTATGAAAAACAGGTTTTTGGATGACATACCTGAAAGGTCTGGATCTTGTTGAAGGTAGATCCAAACACGTTATAAAGTTCTTTCTGCTTATTTTCTCTGGACTCAATTTCTCTAACACATGCTAGTTTTGCTTTTATGAATAATTCTCGATGGGCAAGTAGACTGGATTTCCGCCATACCCACCCTATCTCCGAGAGACGAACATCCTCGTTTAGGGGAACCACGATGGCTTGGTGGATAAGACTTTGGCTGGGGGTTCTGTTTTCGATCCCTGCGTTGGCCAAGTTCATCGGGATTCTTCAGCGTCGTCCCCCTTCTCAGTGGTACAAGAAGGGGGCTAAATTTCACTCATATCACACTCATATCCGTCTTCATTAGCCCAGTCGGGGTTTAACGTTCGCACGGCAACTTGGTCATTTCGGGAGTAACATATGGTTCAGTTTTATTGCAATACTTCGCTTGCGTTAGAGGACCTGGAGAAAACCCACGAGGTTTTTGGAATCGAACCACGACATTTGACTCATTGAGTCAACTGGCGTGGTTTCGAATCTCCGGTTGTACGTGACAAGAAGTAGGGACGCCTATCCAACCTCGTGGGTTTTCACCGGGTCCTCAGGTTTCCTCCCAATGCTGAAGACCCCTACGTGCAAGCGAATTATTGAAATAAAATTGAACCATGTGTTAGTCCCGAAATGACATAGTTTGTGTCGAGTGGACGTTAAACCCCATTTCTCTCTCTCCCTACTCCCAATTATACGATGTCTGGATAAAACCAGACTTTTATTTTATTAAAAATAACGTGTAGGTGAAATTTACCTTTCGTTATCGAGTACAGCACGTGGGTCATGCACTGTATAAATCTCTAAAGAAACGACAATAGATTATCAGGTAACCCAACGCAAAAACTGACCCGAAATCTTAAAAGGGTTACGTGTCCGGATAAGCGGTTTTGACGTTCACGTTTCATAATTTTGAGCTGAAATTTTGAGATAAGGTAAATACACCCTTCCTCTATATTTTGGCGCTTTGCAAGAGCTAAATCTGTCTATTACAGGTCTTTCTTTAGGTCTGAAGTGTTATCTAAATTATTAATTAGACATTAATTAACTTATCCAGACCATTCAACTCTCGGTGTCAACGCTAGCCTGTGATATTTATTGGATTAGGTTCCGATTGCTGCTTAACTTTCATTCCTGATTTAATCATGAAATGGATGATCGAGACTATGGTTGTTATCGTACAGACTTTAATAATTATGATCGAGGCTAGGTCGAAATTCCAATCGCTTAATTCTCGGTTCATAGTGGATCAATTTGACTGAAATTATTTAGCAAATTGCCTTTACATTATCTAGTTTTCAACTATTATAGTGAGAACTGCCAGCTCTTTATCTAATCTCCCATAAAGTATCTTTAAGTAACAGACCAAGATTACATACGACCATTCAGAGTCTAATCGCGTGGAGATTCCGTTAATCAACCCCGGTTGTACGTGACAAGTTGTACGGGTCCTTCATTTTCCTCCCACTGCTAGTTAGTACTGTTAGTACCAGATGTTAGTCCCGAAATGACCTAGTTTGTGTCGAGAGGACGTTAACCCCCCCTCTCTCTCCCTCTCTCTCTCTCTCTGTTAATCAAGTTTTTATTGAACAAATAGCTATTCCAATAATATTTACGTGTTAATTGGAGTACAACGCAGAGATATGTTTTTATTACATGCAGTATAAACACTACATTCTAAACTTAGATAGCCTATGAATGCTCAGTGATATAGGCCACTCAATGGAATCTTAATCTAACTGCACTCCACCCCAATCTTAGATGGATTTAATAATAGTTGACTTCTCACACGACAAAATGAACAGGTTCATCTACATTATCTTGCTGTATATGAAGTCAGTTCAGACTACTGAAATTAACTGCAAGGTTGCATCTTTTAAAATTGAAGAGAACTTTAATCTTAGCAAGGTAATTTTTTTAATTCTATACGAAATTGTATAAAAAACAGGTTTTTGGATGACACACCTGAAAGGTCTGGATCTTGTTGAAGGTAGATCCGAAAACGTTATAAATTTCTTCTGCTTATTTTCTCTGGACTCAATTTCTCTAACATGTGCTAGTTTTGCTTTTATGAATAATTCTTGATGAGCAAGTAGACCAGATTTTCGCCATACCCACTCTGTCTTCGAGCGGCGAACCTGGCTGATCTGGAGGTTCTGTCTTCATCCCTACGTTGGCAAAATTCATCGGGCTTTGACGGCGTCGCCACCCCACCCCCTTTATCAGTAGCACAAGAGTGAGGCTAATTTCCCTCATAGCATACTGTATGACGTATATTGGACCCAGTCGGAGCAGATATGTAGGAAATGAAATGGTGTTTAACGTCCTACTGTTCTGCTCCTATACTGGGGTAATGAAGACGGGCATACGCCATGCATTTTGCTATGAGGGAAATTTTGCCCGGGCAGCGACACTATCGCCTACTCTTATATCGAATTCCAACTGCCAGGGGATCTTTTACCTGCAGTCCAATATATACACGGAACCTCGGTTTTTCGTCTCATCCGAAGGACTAGACAGCTGTCCACTGACAAGTGGGGAAACCACGTCGGAAAATCTGGATGAACTTTCTCGGCCAATGCTGGGATCGAACACCCGATCTCCAGGCTAGCGAGCCAGCGTCTTTACCACCTAGCCACCGTGGCTCCCCAGATATGTATGACATTAAACCGCATTTCAAGCACGAACCGTAACTGAACTGAACTGGATAATCAAAGATAAACAAGAAAACAAACCCCACGAATTCCCAGTTCCCAAAACAGTTTTTCACACCCTACTGGAAATCAGATTTATTTACTTTTTGACACGGCCACTGAATCAAGAGAAAGAGAGAAATGGGGTTTAACGTCCACTCGACACAAACTAGGTCATTTCGGGACTAACATATGGTTTAATTTTATTTCAATAATTCGCTTGCTCGTAGGGGTCTTTAGCAGTGGGAGGAAACCGGAGGACCCGGAGAAAACACACGAGGTTGGACAGGCGACCCTACTCCTTGTCACGTACAACCGGTGATTCGAAACCACGCCAGTCGACTCAATGACAGACTTTATGATACAGCGCGCGCACGCTAACCATTCAGCCATCCAACCCCCTCTGCCACTGAATCAAATGGGCGAATTTGTGAAAACAGTTACGGGTGTTACGAGAGAGACTATTCTTATTTTATGGAATGTGCTATGAATTTAAACGTTTTGTATTGCTCAGATTTAGAGTAAATCAAAATCTTAGATTTATATAGGATATGGCTGCTCAGATAGCAGCAGAGCGGTTCGAGTTAAAAAATGACAATTTAGGCAACATGTGCAGTTTAATGGTCGAGTGCGAGACATTAAGTAATATATTGATATTGCACGAGACCATTAAACAACTTAAAATACATACACTATCCAGCACTTCACGTGGGTCCATATTTCTACTAGTATAAATAATGTACGCTTGGCACATTACCCGTAACATTATTTGAATAATGGTACGTCAACATTTTAAAAAGTAATAATTATAAGATAGTTACAGATATTTAATTCAATTGGTATGATCACCCCTCCTCTGATTTGGATAAACCAAATATTTGGACTTAAACATACATTATGCAAGAGCTAAATTTACCCATTGCGGGTATTTCTTTATGATTGACATGTTTTCTACAGTATTAATTACACATTAATTAACTTATCCAGGCCATAATCAACTCTCGATGGCATCGAATTTCTCCGATATTAAATAGATTAGAACAGTTCAGCCATATTTTGATTTAAGCTAAAAATTGAGAATCGAGATTTAGCTCCGAACAACCAGTACGATGGTTAAAATTATTGGAAACGTTTTGTCAAGCCTTCAAAGGCTAATATCTTCGCTCGCAATAGAGTAATTTGAATGACATTTTCAAATTATTCCTGTTACATTATCTATGTATCTTTAATATATAATATAAGCGTTTTCTCCTTCACTGAAAAAGCTTTTAATTATCTTCATCTAAAAAGCCAATCTGATTAAAACACAGGTCCTATTTCGTTTCGTTTTTTTTTTATAGTTCAAAATTTCATTTTAGTTGTCTATACTACATGTAGTAGAAGCCATCGAAAATATAAACAAAGAACATAATACAGATCTGTATTTTAATCAAATTGTCTAAAAAGCCCAAATAAAATTTGTTTTATATCCAGGACCTTAATCCTGAAACAAAACAATTTTCCTTTGTTTTCTCAAATTTGCATTCAACAGAGTTACTAGAGTTTTCCAGATTACAGGAGACTGTAATGACTAACTTTGTTTACTGGGAGGGGTATGTTACCATAACATGACTTGTGATCAAATCTCTCATCTTCATTTTGTTAACTTTTCTCTCTAAGAGTCATTTCGGGACTAACATATGGTTCAATTTATTTCAGTAATTCGCTTGCGTGTAGGGGTCTTTAGCAGTGGGAGGAAACCGGAGACCCCGGAGAAAACCCACCAGGTTGGACAGGTGATCCTACTCCTTGTCACGTACATCCGGGCAATTGAAACCACACCAGTTGACTCAACGACAGACCATATAATACAGCGCGAACACGCTAACCATTCGATCATCCAACCCACCTACTGTAAAACAGAGAGAGGGAAATGGGGTTTAACGTCCACTCGACACAAACTAAGTCATTTCGGGACTAACACATGGTTTAATTTTATTTCAGTAATTCGCTTGCGCGTAGGGGTCTTTAGCAGTGGGAGGAAACCGGAGAACCTAGAGAAAACCCACCAGGTTGGACAGGTGATCCTACTCCTTGTCACGTACAACCGGGGAATTGAAACCACACCAGCTGACTCAACGACAGATACAGCGCGAACACGCTAACCATTCGACCATCCAACCCACCCTACTGTAAAACAAGAAATTATTTCAACCTGAAGACGTCTAGAACATATAATTAATGTGATATGCTATATCCTATTCCTTTCTCAAGTGAGCGACTTTTGTAATACACATTGGCGTGCACGTAAAAGATCCCTTGACAGTTGGAATTCGATATAAAAGTAGACCGTAGTGCCGTTGTCCGGGCAAAATTTCCCTCATAGCACACTGTATGACGTATTCCCGTCTTCATTAGCCCAGTACGGAGCAAAACAGTAGGACGTTAAACCCCATTTCATTTCATTTTGTAATATTAAGTAAGAAACCACTAACCAGATAACGAGAACATTGTCATATTATCTTTTGTTTTTCTCCAGTCTGAAATTCAACCGGAACTTGATATTTACAATATCCAATTTAGATATGTTTTAATCTTTTATCTAATTTTCTCAGTGGGCCCCTTCCTGTCAAGATAAGATAAGGCAGAAATATAAGGTAGAAATAAATTAGAACGCTTTGTGTGTGTGTGTGAGAGAGAGAGAGAGAGAGAGAGAGAGAGAGAGAGAGATGGGGTTTAACGTCCACTCGACACAAACTAGGTCATTTCGGGACTAACATATGGTTTAATGATATTTCAATAATTCGCTTGCGCGTAGGGGTATTTAGCAGTGGGAGGAAACCGGAGGACCCGGGGAAAACCCACGAGGTTGGACAGGCGACCCTACTCCTTGTCACGTACAACCGGGGATTCGAAATCACGCCAGTTGAGAACGCTTTGTTTAAAGATACATTATGTAAGATTTAGATAAAGAACTAGCCATTCTTGCTATAATAGTTCAAAAATAGATATTGTAAAATGAATAATTTGAAAATTTCATTCAAATTACTCTATTGTGAGCGAAGATATTAGCCTTTGAAGGTTTGACAAGACGTATGCAATAATTTCAACCACCATAATGGTTGTTTCAAGCTAAATTTCACTCCTCCATTTTTAGATTAAATCAAAATATGGTCGAACTGTTCTAATCTATTTAATATCTGAGAAATCCGATGCCATCGAGAGTTGATTATGGTCTGGATAAGTTAATTAATGTTTTATTAATAATTTAGATAACATTTCAGACCTAAAGAAAGACCTGCACTAGGCAGATTTAGCTCTTGCATAAAAGGAGCTACGTCGCTATTCTTTGGCACCTAGAAATGGACACAAATGGGTCGCAGCGTATATGATAATGTATTATGAATGTATATAAAATTATTAACATTCAATCGTTTCTTCGTTTTACTTTAATTTCTAATCATTTGTGTTCGTCGAAATACGCGAAAAGTCTGAAATGAATGGCAGTCTATGCCTCGGGTTATTCCAGTCCACACCGGCCAGGGCCGGCGGAACCAATTCTTAATTGGAGGTGCTACCATCGTAGGTCTTTAGACGAGGGTCCAGGGACCGCCTAGGCCCGGAAGCTCCAGGAGATCTAGAGGGGCTTTCTGGCTAATGAAATTACTCAGCAATGAAGTGAAATTTTATTTCTTTTCCAAATCCCTTACCATGCGAACACATTCGATTGTGGTTTCCTGCGATGCTAATGACTCCAAGGTTGTGGACACTCTAGGGGTCACAATTTTTATACATTTTTGATGGTTATGGTTATAACCGAAAGATCTCGACATTTTTAGCTTGTGGACCCTCTAGACATCATAGTTTCTATTTGATGGTCAAAACCGTTCAAATATATCACGGCTGCACCATAGTTACGACTGAGTTCAAATTTCGCGAAAATCGGACCGAAACTGCCCGACAAAATGACTGCTACCCTTAAAAGCATGTAATACCCAGGTTGTGGATCAGAGGTTCGAATTTTCATCAAATTTTGATATATCCTAAGGGCCCGGGTTCCTTTCGATATTGGCACGTATTGGACCGTAGCTTTCTGGACCATGACCTCTAATTTACGAAATATCATGTTTTTAGCCTGGGAACCATTTTTATCTTATTTTCAAAACCGTTCAAATGTATCACCGTTACACTATAATTATGGTTGATTCCGGGGCGGGGTTTCCCCTAACTTTCGGGCAATCTTATTTTTCGGGCGGACGGGTAAAGTGAAAACAAAAATTAATATTTCATCTATTTGGCAAAATAAAGTGTCCTAAATCTAATAACACACTAATTTTACTTTTCTTTTAATTGAATACCACGAATTTGTACTGGGATTTAGGTAAGCCACTTAAGGTACTCTATATTGGACCACATTGAAGTACTGTATATTCAGGGGCTGGTCTAGCAGGAAAACGGGTTTGCTGCAGAATAATTTTCAAAAATTCATCGAGCTCGTACGCCTATTCATCACGGGGCCATTTGATGTATCGATTTATCTGATATTTCTACATTTATCTTGATAAAAGGGCACTCAGTGAAACGTGAAACACCCTTCATAAAAGGCTTCTGGTAATTAAAAAAATTTAAAAATCAAATTATGCTCCAAATGTACATGAACATGTATTAATAATGAATTTATTTATCGTTGATCTTATACATACGTATACACAGCGTTGGCATACTTATTCAACAAGGACGTTACTCTAATATCTATTTTATTTTTAAACATTGGGATATAAACGGTCTGACAATTAATTTTAATTGCTTAAATCAGCGAGGTGTTACAACCGTCTTAATCCAATATCCCATTATTTGCGCCAAGAAAACGTGTCTGCGACCGTCAAATTTTCCAAATTATCTTTAAGGTGGGGGGGGGGGCGTCCTACACGGTAAGCTTTGCTCATTCGTCTTTCGCAGGCGACCGGCACCACCATATGTAGAAAATATTGAAACTTTCATTCAAACTACTTCATTCTGAGCCACGTTTTCACTGCTTGTGTGCATAGTAGTGATAACCAGGGTACTGGTATATTCCGTTATTCGAGACTTAGTCTCACTTTCCCATTTTTAAATTAAATTTTTAAATGTAAATGAAATGAAATGAAATGGGGTTTAACGTCCAATTGTTCTGCTCCTAAACTGGGCTAATGAAGACGGGCATACGCCATACAGTGTGCCATGAGGGAAATTTTGCCCGGGCAGCGGCACTACGGCCTACTCTTATATCAAATTCCAACTGCCAAGGGATCTTTTACGTGCACGCCAATGTGTACACAGGACCTCGGTTTTTCGTCCCATCCGAACGACTAGACAGCTGTCCTTATAAGGTTTTCCGTCCTGCATCACTGACAAGGGGAAACCACGCTGGAAAATCTGGATGAACTTTCTCGGCCAATGCAGGGATCGAACACCCGACCTCCAGGCTAGCGAGCCAGCGTCTTACCCACTTAGCCACGTGATCCCATTTTTAAATGGAGAACCGTTCTAATCTAGTTACAATCTCGACTATCCGATGCCATCGAGAGTTGATTATGGTCTTGTTTTGTTAATAAATGTCTAATTAATAGTTTATATAACATTTCAGGCCCAAAGAAAAACCCGCAATAATCCGATTTAACTGGACATGTTTATAAATGTGTATGTATGTGTGGAAGGGGTGTAGTGGGGTTTATATAACATACTATTTCAAGCCACGCCAAGGGCTATAACTCATAAATTGAAATTCGATATCAGAGAATATCCCCCAATATATATCACTTGACAATACACTCAAAGATATGCTGCCATAGTCTCGTTCATCAATGCGCCTTATTACAAATTGCGCTTGAGAGCATAGTGTACTCGCCGACGTGTACTATTTTTAAAATTGTTCACTTTGTCTTAAATATTTGATATGAGGATCCCATATTTTCACGGTAACATGAAAATATCAATCTGATCAATCAGATCCTATTTCGTTTCGTTTTTTTATAGTTCAAAATTTCGTTTTACTTGTCTGTCTGTTCCACACTAGAAGAGCGTTTTGTTGAAGTGAGGGATAAGCCAATGAAACAGTCTGTTACGGCGACTTCTTGGCGTGCCATGCAGGGAAATATATGTAAACCACTAGAAACGTCAACGCTGATTGATTAATCAATATCTGACGTCATAGGGTCAAAAGCCGTTCGTACGACATCTGATACCGTGTCAGATCTTCATGTAGTGTAGGCCATCGAAAGTATAAAACAAACGAAACGAAATATAGATCTGTATTTTAATCAGATTGTTAACAATATCAGTAGCCTATATTTTGGAATGGACCAATAATTCGTGTTGGTAATAAACTGGAGCCAGTTGCTCAAAACTAAGTTATTTTAAGGTCTGTCATCGAGTCAAGAGGCGTGGTTTCGATTCCCCACTTGTACGTGACGACGAGCAGGGTAGCATATCCAACCTTGTTCGTTTTTTCCGGGTCCTCTGGTTCCCTTCTACTGCTAAAAACCCTACGCGCTAGCGCGTTATTGAAATGCGGTTGAGCAAAATGTTAGTCCAGAAATGACGTAGTTTGTGCCGAGTGGACGTTAAGTCCCATTTCTTTCTCTCTCTTTATTGGTGAATGTAATTGGTTACTTTTAGTATTTAGGGAGCCACGGTGGCTAAGTGGGTATGACGCTGGCTCGCTAGCCTGGAGGTCGGGTGTTCTATCCCTGCATTGGCCGAGAAAGTTCCTATCCATAACCACAAAAATATGTTTTTTTAATTTTCATGTAATTCACTCTTTCATGTATATAGATGTAATTATGTTTAGTATATTAGTATAATGGCTTTGTTTATTCATGCAGGACATGTTTGTACATATATAATACCTGAATAAATATGTTTACAAGAAAAGAAAAAAGACGCTGGCTCGCTGGCCTGGAGGTCGAGTGTTCGATCCCTGCATTGGCAAAGAAAATTCATCGGAATTTCGACGAAAAAAACGAGGGCGTGTATACATTGGCATGGTATCAGTTAGGCTACACAGGCTTTACGTGGGCAAACAACCTCCCATAGCACACTGTATGGCATATGCCCGTCTTCATTAGCTCAGTCGGAGCAGACGAGTAGGCCGTTAAACCACATTTCATTTCATTTTAGTATTTAGGAACATGGTATGAGATTAAATGGATCGCTCCTTTTTATCACTCAGAAGAAGACCAATGGTCTGATTATAAACATACCTACAGTATCAAACAAGATGGCGGAGTCGCTGGTTACGGCAGTGCAAGGTAATATCTTTTATCTTTTTTCATAATTTGTATATGCCGCGTGGTGATGCAAATAATCTATCTATATAAATAAAATCACATTTTGTATGTATGTATTTGTGTATATATGTATCCAAAATTATTAGCACAACCGCAAAGCTGCACTACTTTGTTTCACGGTATGTATTTGTATGCAGCTATGTTCGACCATCACGCTTTGTCGCTGCGCCCCGCCCCCACCTGTGGTTTCAAATTAAAAGGCATGGCCCCGTGATTATTTTAGGCCATCGAATTTAGGCCCCGGGCGGATTGGGTTTGGCCGCGCTCTTACGCCACATATTATATCAAATTAACCAGCATGACCATGTAAATGTTTCAGGGCATCGAATTTGGGCCCCAGAAGAATTTGGGCCCCGGACGAATTTGGTCCCCAGAAGAATTTGGGCCCAGGCGAATTCGAGCCCTGGCGAATTGGGTCCTGGCGAATTTGGGCCAGTGCAGATTTGTGCACCTGGTGATTGGGCCGGTAAAGCCGGGTATCCTAATAGTAATATATTATAAAAGTGCATTTTTTAAATTCCATACACTAAGTATGTATTGTTTAATGGTCGAGAGCGAGACATTAAGTAATATATTGTAACAACAAGAGGGCCGTAGTCCCGAGTGTTTTTACAGTATATTACACAATGTCTTAAGCGCGATACCATTAAACGACTTAAAAAATACAGACACTCCGCACGTGCTTTTATTTACAGTGAAATACGTCACGTGAGTCCAATATTTCACTAGTATAAATAATGTACGATTGGCAAGTTGCCGGTACGATTGTTTGAAATAATGGTACGCCAACATCAAAGGGTGACGTCACATCAGATGTATTTTAAATGCTCTTTACACGTGGTTGGTGTAATTAGTTGTTTTAAAGTTTTGGGGTGGTCGTATTTAGTGAATGAACGCGTAGGCCTCCGCGGACCACCGTAACGCAAGACAGTAAGAAATATTTAAAACCATTGCTGACCCATGGCCTATATATTTCTCTTTTAATTTTATAGAAAACTACCTGCAATGGAATGTGTGTATTTCCGGACCGATTTGAACCCGACCAGTATTCCAGGAAATTTTACTTTCGGAGGTATTTCACTTCTTTTTTTACACTTATTTTTGATATCATGCCAGTGGTTATATTATGCCATTTTATTAAGATACAAAAGTGAATGGAGGGCGGGGGGTGACCGAATGGTTAGCACGTGGGCGCTATATCATAAGGTCTGACAGCGTGGTTTCGATTTCCCGGTTGTACGTGACAAGGAGTAGGGTTGCCTGTCCAATCTCGTAGGTTTTCTCCGGGACCTCCGGTTTCCTCCCACTGCTACAGACCCCTACGCGCAAGCGAATTATTGAAATAAAATTGAACCATGTGTTAGTCCCGAAATGACCTAGTTTGTGTCGAATTGACATTAAACCCCATAAAGTCTGTCATTGAGTCGACTGGCGTGGTTTCGAATCCCCGGTTGTACGTGACGAGGAGTAGGGTCGCCTGCAAACCTCGTGGGTTTTCTCCGGGTCTCCGGTTTCCTCCCACTGCTAAAGACCCCTACACGCAAGCGAATTATGTAAATAAAATTAAAACCGTATGTTAGTCCTGAAATGACCTAGTTTGTGTCGAGTGGACGTTAAACCCCATTTCTCTCTCTCTCTCTCTCTCTCTCTCGAAATGGCATAGTTTGTGTCAAGTGGACGTTAAACCCCAATTCTCTCTCTCCCGCAATGATATAGTTTGTGTCGAGTAGCCTTACCCAACCTCCTCTCTCTCCCTCTTTCTCCATCTCCCCCAGCTCTCTCTCTCTCTCTCTCTCAATAAAAAGATTTCCATTCCTTGAAATGAATTTAATTTTGATTAATCTTTCAGAAAATAATTCACAATATTGGGTAATCAAGACGGATTATACCAATTTTGCTACAGTATATGGTTGCTCAAATCAGTATGCGAATGGGACATGTAGCCATCGTAGAATTTGGTTATGGGGAAGGGAAACAACTCTAGCGGAACAATTTCTGAAAGAAGCCGAGAGTGCAGTAACTAATGTATGCGTAAATGCTTCAGTTTTAGTGACCACTGGTCATTCTAAGGGTATGATTTCCTGTTTAATTAATATATCAATAAAACTAATTTTCACCAAAATGGATGAACGTGGCGAAACGGGGCGTGAGGAGATAATTTGCAGGTGCCCGATTCAGCATAATTCGTGTGAAAAGTATATATATCGTTTCTTATCTAAATCAATGATCCTTTTTGTCAATCGGATTAAAATACAGATCTATATTTCGTTTCGTTTTTTTATACTTTCGATGGCCATATAAAACGAAATTTTGAACTATAAAAAACGAAATAAGATCTGCGTTTTAATCAGGTTGCCTTTTTGTATGATCTAGTGATAATAGCGGGCCTGGCAAGGATATCTGTCTAGTCGTTCGGATGGGACGAAAAACCTAGGTCCCGCGTATATATTGGCGTGCACGTAAAAAATCCCTTGATAGTTGGAATTCGATATAAGAGTAGGCCATAGTGCCGCTGTCCGGGCAAAATTTCCCTCATAGCACACTGTAGGGCGTATGCCCGTCTTCATTATCCCAGTTAGTAGCAGAACAGTAGGACGTTAAACCCCATTACATTTAGTGACAATAGCATCACAAGTGCAGTAGGACTTATGGCTCAACGATTTTATTTATACTAAATCGAAGTGATATCATTTACGTAATGTCATTTTAAAATACTGTTCTTGAAAGGTAATTTACAAGGATGGACTGAACACCCGAGTAATTTTAATAAATATGCCGGGTTTATCAAAATATTAAAGTGGATTATGGTCCAATGAAGTTAATAATTCTAGCTGCTCTCACTTGAATAACGACAGTAAATTAATTTCATGTTGTTTTTTTTATTATTTTCAGGTTGTCCTAAAGGTAAGGTTTAGCAGATTATATTTACTTGACAGCGTAAGATACAACATACATACAGATAAAGTTAAAATGAGGGAGAGAGAGAGAGAGAGAGAGAGAGAGATGTTTAATTTGATTTCAATAATTCGCTAGGTTGTAGCGGGTCTTTAGCAGTTGGAGGAAACCGTATTTCCTGGAGGTTGGACAAGCGGGGATTCGAAACCACGCCACTTGACTCAATGACAGACCTTATGATTTCACGCACACGCGCTAAACCACTAGACCACCAAGCCCCCACCTATTCAAGAATACAAATGATTTTATCTCACTTTTTATTTACCTTAATTAGAAACATTTTAAAATCGGATGAGCTACATCCTTTATTGTTTTGTTTTATCTTTCGTTTCAGAAACTAATGGTTCCGGTTCTGTATTTTTATCATTCCATGCCATATTGTTCAACTATTTGATATTTGTCAACTTGTTTGTTTTTTTTAAAATAACATTTTAAGAATTTAGCCAACCGTGTCTGTATGAGGAGGTTTCTACGAAATATGCAATTTAAAATAAATTAAATTACTTTTTGGTTTATAAGGCTGCCACAAGCAGCCATTCTGAGGCGGCATGGCGTTTGTGTCTGGTAGAGATTTTACCCCTGAAAAGACAATTTTTGTGGAGTTAATTAAATAACTCGCTATGTTGTATGTCCCCATTTCGTTTTAAATGTACACGTTTGCGTTAAACTATTGCTGTTCTAAAGCTTGGTCAACACATTCCATTTCACCATAGTATATATCGACTTGTTCGCAAAATATCGCCATGCGCTATGTCGACGTGTGCATTTAAAACGAATTGACGACATACAATAGCGAGTTATACATATTACCAAATTAAAGATACATTATGGGAGATTGTAATAGAGAGTTGGCCATTCTTGCTATAACAGTTCAAAAATATATGATGAAAGAAGAATATATTGGAAATTTCAGTCAAATTACTTTATTCTGAACATAGTTATCACCTTTGTAATTTTTGACTAGAAATAGGAGTCAACTCTATCTTCACCGTCTCCGAGAATGGCCGATCGTTTGATTGACAGGCGTTAACTCCACCTACATAATGGCTGTGGTACCGTTAGCCTATTCGGTTTGAGACGGGGTTGCAATTCAATTCGTATCACATTTATTTTTACTACAAATTAAAAATAAGACCTTTAATATATAGATAAGAAGCGAAAGTTTGAAAGGAATGGACCAAATCAATGAGGCAGCATTGTACATAATTATAGCCGACTTTCTTGTTAGCCTGCGTGTACTCTTGTACTGTACCTGGTAGGCCTAGTACGTGACTCCCGAAGCAGACATAGGAAACATTGATCCAATGGGACTGCCATTCAACTGGGGTGATGTTAGCTGCGATGTTTATCAACTTCCATATTTTTTCTCATTTTAACTACAACTAAACATAATATCAAGTCGGTATATCGAACTTTCAATCAAATTGACTGACATGCGGCCTCGCTCAACAGCGGCCTCGCATCGTACGATCTATCATTTAGCCTCGATCATCACTGCCTTTTATGGAAAATTTCCGGGAGTATGACGTAAACGTAACGGTTAATCTCTGCTTACGACGCCATTTAAAAATTTAATCAATCAATAAAATCCTGTTTAAATCCAAGCCATCCGTGGGTCTACAGAGTTGATTTTGGACTTGTTGTGTAAATAAAGATCTAATTTATAATTTCTATGACATCTGAAGCCTAAATAAAGACTTAAAATATGCTAATTTAGCTCTTGCATAATGCATGTTTAAAATTGTAGTATCTATCGCGCCATTGACCCAGATACGCTTCCATAGTTTAACGTATCTTGTCAACACTTTTAATAGTTAGTATTTTGTTATTCTACTGTTTGTAGTCCTTTGTTCATTTTTAACAATTATAGATATTAACAAATAACAATCCGATACATAAAAACAACTTATTTATTCATTCTTAAAGGGACAATAACACTCTTGCTGGCTTGAAAGCTCCAGAAAATAAATAATATCTCTATCTAAGTACTAGATGTTTAAGTGTCCTACCTGTTGTGTAAATTATCCATTACATCCTATTTTACTTGTCCAGAGGGTTCGAAAATATTTTTAAATCGAAGTTTCATTTGAAAAGGTTTACGTTAGACGTTTCAAACCATTATGTTGAATTTTTCTAAATTTTTAAATAAGGTGTGTTAAGATGAAATTTGTATCATCAATTAATTGAAATATTCTAAAATAGTACAATTTGTTAACCAGAGTAAAGATTGGGACATATTATTCAGTTACAACACGAGTGGTATTGAGCCTTTAAGCAGTTTTTTATTCGCCCACATTATCACATGGACGTGTTATGCAGTCGCCCATGTCCATCGCGATGTCTGTTCACATTTGTTTGTGGACACTCTACAGGTAATAATTTTTTTATCGAATTTGGATGAAGCTTAAAATATCTCGGACACATGTCGGGCCATAAATTCCTTGATTATTGCCCCTGATTGTACGAAAACTTGGACGAACTCCATCGATATTCACTGCTCCACAACATCCCCCTTGCTTCAAACCTTCTGAAAACAATAGCGGCTACAGTTTTTAACAGATGCATTCCAAATTTGGTGTTCCAGAGTTCCCCCCTTTTCTGAAAACATTGTGAACACGATAGAGGATACATCCTTTAACGGACGTTAAACCCCATTCCCCTCTCTCTAATACCAATGCTCCATACCATATTAGGAAATCAATTGGGTTCATCCTATTTCACTCATTAGGATTTACACCAAATTTGAAAACAGATCGCTAAAGCTATAGCATCTTTCGCGTTTAAAACATTTTTGGAAATGAAGGGAATGGGGCTGCGGAACGGAAGGTCGACGACAGCTGAACATCGACAAGGTTCGCCCTCCCTTGCCCCCAATGATTCACTACACGTCGATAGAGTTCATCCTCCCGTGACCCCAAGGCTTCACATTAGATACAAATGAAATATGTTAAAAATTGTAGCACCTATCTCAAGGGGGTTAAAGGTGGTGGTAACATGCTTAAGGGTGAATCTTGCGTTTTAATTGGTCAATTAGACACTGTCTATTGGACTATAACACCCCTCTGTTTTAGTAATTTCTTTTAAAATCCTAAAATAGCATGTTACAATGTCGATAACCACTTCCTGTTTCGCATTTAGAGGGGTGTTATTGTCCACTAGACATGTCCTGAGATTTTACATTAGAACCCGTGACGCTAACGCCTCTTGGGTCCTAATGATATAAGGACATGTCTACTGGACAATATAACACCAATCTAAATGCGAAACAGGAAGTGTTTATCTCCTAAATAACGCAGGGTTCGTCCTCTCGTGACTGATGACATCAAATTTGAAATAACACCGATGGACCGACATGGGTGACGACACAGCGTGGGAGTATAATATAAAAATGATTAACAATAGGGCGCATCAACAAATAATGCATATATATTAATTAATATATAGCCAACAATCGCTCCAATAAAACTACCAATCTGAGTAAAGGCTCCACACAGAATCAAACTTTTCCTTCCACTCAGCCTTAAAACATTTGCCACACCCACTTTAGCATAGGTTAAAACAAATATACACACTACCCATGTTGTTACCTGGAATATAAAACAATATAGATTCATTTAATTTAGGTTCACACTCTCGTACGATGTGTCACTGTCGCGATAGGATTGTCCTTATTGAGTCCACGGCCTGGTACGTGCAGATACCTTCGGATACGTTTCGATACGGAGAAAACGTGGCTAGGTGGGTAAGACGCTGGATCGCTAGCCTGAAGGTCCGGTGTTCGATCCCTGCATTGGCCGAGAAAGTTCATCCAGATTTTCCGGCGTGTCTTCCCCTTGTCAGTGATGCAGGGCGGAGGGCCTGACAAGGACAGCTGTCTAGTCCTTCGGATGAGACGAAAAACCGAGGTCCCGTGTATATATTGGAATGCACGTAAAATATCCCTCATAGCACACTGTATGGCGTATGCTCCGTCTGGGCTAATGAAGACGGGCATACATCAGACAGTGTACTATGAGGTGTTATGGCCTACTCGTATATCGAATTCCAGCTACTAAGGGATCTTTTACGTGCACGCCAATATGTACACGGGACCTCGGTTTTTCGTCCCATCCACCGCTGACAATGGAGAACGACGCTGGAAAATCCCGGTGAACTTTCTCGGCCAACACCGGGATCGAAAGGTTAGCGAGCCAACGTTTTACTCACTGAGTAGGGTCGCCTGTCCAACCTCGTGGGTTTTCTCCGGGTCCTCCGGTTTCCTCCCACTGCTAAAGACCCCTACGCGCAAGCGAATTATTGAAATAAAATTGAACCATGTGTTAGTCCCGAAATGACCTAGTTTGTGTCGAGTGGACGTCAAACCCAATCTCTCTCTCTCTCTCTCTCTCTCTCTCTCTCGCTCTTACTCACTGAGCCACCGCGATTCTCTTCATAAATAGACCATACATGCCAGTAACAATGTAGACAGTAATATAACATTGTGTATATCTATATGTGTTTTTTCTAGTTGTGCACTAACGTACAATCAAAAACATGTCATTATTTATGAAATAAACCGTATATTAATAGTATCTGTATTATAAACATGTCAGGTAATATAGGGTAAGCAAATAGATAGATAATTTTGAAATTATATACATCATCGTATCCTCGTATAATCCTGGGGGGGGGGGGCGAATGGTTAGCACATGCGCTCTGTATCATAAGGTCTGTCATTGAGTCAACTGGCGTGACAAAGAGTATGGTCGCCTGTCCAACCTCGTGGGTTTTCTCCCCTTGCTCCGTTTTCCTCCCACTGCTAAAGACCCCTACGCGCAAGCGAATTATTTAAACACAATTTTAAAAAAGTTAGTCACGAAATGACCTAGTTTTTGTCGAGTGGACGTTAAACCCAATTTTTATCTCCCGTATAATCCTGAGCACGGGTCTTAATATCCTTATATAGTCAGTCATACGGGGTGATTTAACTTTTGTGAGTAAAGGCGATGACAAAGTCTGGTTCGTGTATTTGGTAAAATTACTGTCGCTTCCTTAAATTTAAAGGGACAATAACACTCTTGCTGGCTTGACAGCTCCAGAAAATAAATAATAGCCTTATTCTAAGTACTAGATGTTTAAGTGTCCTACCTGTTGTGTAAATTATCCATTACATCCTATTTTACTTGTCCAGAGGGTTCGAAAATATTTTTAAATCCAAGTCACATTTGAAAAGGTTTACGTTAGGCTTTTCAAATCATTTAGTTGAATTTTTCTAATTTTTTAAATTAGGTTTGTTAAGATGAAATTTGTATCACCAATTAATTGGAATATTGTATAATAGTAAAATTTGTTGACCAGAATAAAGATTGGGACATATTATTCAGTTACAACAAGAGTGGTATTGAGCCTTTAAAACAACATGGCGCTAGGCCAACAGTAGCGGAGGCGGCAGAGGCGCCAGTCTCCGACCCGAAAAAAATGTGAAAATCTCCAAAAATAAAATTAAGAGAAAACACGAAATCCGGGGAGAATATCTGATATGAACCCCCAAAGACAGGACCCCCGAGTTCAGTGGAGATGCCCCCCATTACAGGAAGGGCACTCGAATCGAAGAAAAGGGTACCCTTGACTTGATGACAAGGGCATTTGTGTTTGTGTCTCGTAGTTAGGCATATGAGAGAAGCCACGCGTGATCCATCATTCATTAGTGCACACAGGCCAAAGTTATTATCGTTTTTCAATGCACCGTGCGCTGAATTCGATGTCTGTACACTGCTAACAGCAGCTAAATTGCTAATATTTGGGACCTAGAAATTGACACAAGTGAGTCGCAACGTATATAATAATGTAATGTGAATGTACATAACTGATTTACATTTAATCGTTTCCGTTTTCACTATAATTTCTAATCAGTTATGTCTCAAACAAAGGGCAATCTCTAGCGCCTGGTTATTCCAGTCTACACCGGTAGTATTTATTGCGCATGCTCCCCAGATAAGAGTATAGCGTCACCGTTTGACATGACTTGTCGAATATGTCTTGCCTCGTTCTTCGAGTCCCTTGTTACAAATGGCGCTGAAACGCATTCTGGTGCATGATTCGTGTATCAATGGTAAAATGTTTATTTTGTCTTAAATATTGGATATCAGAAGCCCATCTTTTCCCGGTAAGATCACAGCATCAATGTTGATTTAAATTGATCAATAATTTGTGTTCTCAATGTCGAAGACTGTTGATGATATTGAGTTAGAGATTTAGCTACTTTAAGTTCGATGCACTAGCTAGTGATTACAACGGTTAGTGACACTTCTAACAAGATCCCCAATATAATTACAATAGTACCGGGAATCCTCGTATTTAAGCCCTGCCGTTCGAATATAATTACAATGGTAAGTGACACTTCTAACAGGATCCTAAAATAATTACAATGGTTAATGACACTGCTAACAAGGTCCCAATATAATTACAATAGTAAGTGGCACTGCTAACAAGATCCCAATATAATTACAATAGTAAGTGGTACTTCTAAAAGATCCCAATATAATTACAATGGTATGTGGCACTTCTAAAAGATCCCAATATAATTACAATGGTATGTGGCACTTCTAAAAGATCCCAATATAATTACAATGGTATGTGGCACTTCTAGCAAGATCACTATATAATTACAATGGTAAGAAAGAGAAATGGGGTTTAACGTCCACTCGACCCAAACCAGGTCATTGCGGGACTAACATATGGTCCAATTTTAATTCAAAAATTCGCTTGCAGGTAGGAGGAAACTGGAGGACCCGGAGAAAACCCACCAGGTTGAACAGGCAATCCTACACCTTGTCGTGTATAACCTTAGAATCGAAACCACGCCAGTTTACTCAATGACAGACCTCGTGATAAATCCCGCACGCGGCAACCACCCCCCCCCCCCCCCAATCCCGCGATAAAATAGAGACTTTTGGCAAGCGGATTTTTCCCATCCGTATCCCGTATCCGTATCGTATGCGTGATACGTTGCGTCAATGTAGTTTTAGAGTTTTGGCAGATTTTAGCAATTTTTGGTTTCTTTAATGTATCATTTCAGAAAGTTTAGCCCGCAGACAGGCGGGAAAAATATGAAAATTCCGAGAAAAACCCATCAAAAATAATGATTAAATTCCAGTCGTTATCACTGTTAAAATCACATCAAATATACACCTTCGTGTTCAAGATACACATAGATTCATAAAAACGCTATGATGCAACATTTCAGCGTCTAAAAGTAGCAAAAAGACGGTAACAAGACGACAGTGTTATACGGACCATTTCCGTATGAAAGCCGTTCCATACGTGCCGCCGTATCCGTGTGCCGTATCACGTTTGAGAAATACACAGACATTGATGACGTCACACGCAAAATCCATACGGATACGCGATACGGACCAGGAAATTACGCTTGCCAAAAGTCTCTATTGTCGGGTAATTGTACACGCATAAATATACCGGTATCCTACACATCTTAATGGAGACAATAGAAGAAAAGAAACTTACCATTATTGGTCCTCCAGATGCATGACCTACTAGAGGTGGAGCAGGACTCATTGCTGCTGCTATAATAATATACGATCCCAGTGCAGTACCAATACAGGTGATGACAGCGATCCCTTCTGTAGAATAAATGGTATAAAACATGGCGGCGAAACATGCCAAAGGGTTTGCAATGTTTGTCAAAGTCACTGTTAAATGATAGACCTCAATGTCGTATGGCAGGCAGGAATAAGTCTGGATTGCTAACAGGAAGCTTGAAGTAAAGAAATTTATCCAGGCAACTGTAAAGAGTAAAATGATAATGGTGGTCGTAGTAGGTTTGGCCTTGGTAGGTTTTCGCTCTATATCGATTTCCTCTTTGACGCTGTTGTGTTTATTCTCGCCGTTTTGTGTCTCATATTTTGTGATGGTGATGACTTCAACAGGATTCTCCATATATTTGTCCATGGAGGTGAAATTTTTAGTATATTCACTTTTGAGGGAAGGGTGAAATTTTAACACAAGAAATGCTGTCAATGACAGAAGCATCATTGCTGATAAAATAAAGAAGAAAACTTGAACAGAAAATTTGGGTTCTTCATACATAGGATAAGTAAAATAACTGGTGTCATTAAACCACGTGTTGTTAATGATCGTGGCATTGATGTTGGATCCATTAATACAATTAATCTGACCAGCTCCTTGTGCTAATGCTGTTAAACTCGGGATCATTCCGCTTAATCCTTCGCCAATAAAATACGTCGACATATATTGAGCTTTTAATGAGGACATGAAAGCCAGAAATGCCAAGGATGATGTACAATCGACGGTAGCAAGGAAGAAGTTAAGAGTGAGCAATGCCGTGCTATGATATTTTCCGGCTATAATAGTTGTCTCTTGCCAGAACATGGCTAATAAGAGGCATGCCACGAGTCCTACACTTATTACCAAGATACTTGTTCCCACTTCCAGTCTTTTTTCCTTGTACATGTAACTTAGAATAACAAACAACAAAGGCCCAATGTTCGCGACTTGTATAATAACTATCATATAAGATGGCAAACTCCAAGCTTCCGGTAGTTTCGTCACCATTAATGGTAGCTCCACCCACAATCCGTTTATATCGATCCATGAAGATATTCCAAATAAACAAACTAATATATGAACAGCCAGTCTTGAATCACGAAAGAGATTTCGGGGATGCATTGTTGATCGTGTCTAAATGTAGTCTTGTCTTTGTGTTAAACTCCTACTTGATTGTGTCTATATGTAGTTTTTTCTTTGTGTTAATCTTCTACTTGTATCAGGACTGGAATCAGCATTAGAATATCTATCGTCGTGTTTGACCTGAAATAAAATTAATTAATGAAATTGGGAATATTATGAATTCAATGTTCATTATTATAAAATATTTGCCAAGTGTTGTTTTCTGGGGGTAGTAGCTTATTCCAACACTAACGACGATAACTCGAAATAAATGATCAAAATTGTACTTTTAGCCACAGATCACTAATTATTTCCCCATTGACTTTAATGTTATTTCTCGTCTCTTAGACCGGCTCTAACTTTTTCAAAATTTTTCGTTGGGTAGAACGCTTTCTGCCACAGATGGAGCAACATGTGGCAAACTTTTGCCCAAAAGCATGTATGAGGTTCACCATGAAAAACTTGAGATACACAAGCTGGAAGTAGAGACAAGTAAAGATGAAATTTCCGGCCCTACATTTCAACGTAACCAACCTCACAACTCTTGTATCGTTCCGCCTCAAAATCATGAATATTCACCAAAACCTGGCAGAAAATGTATTTTCAAACCCTTTTTTGGTGATCTGTGTCCTTTTAATAAACGAGTGTCCAAAACTGGCTAACGATCACGATAACGAGACAAATATCGCTAGAATATAGAACATATATACAAGCTTAGGATTAAAATAATTATATAATAATATTTGACCAGAAATGCTAAATTGCACATCAGAAACAGATGTTTAAATACAGCAGAAGATATGGACATAGCAAGAACGCGTGTTAACTATAATTACGTAATATATATCGTTAAATTAAGCATAAACCCAAACAGTTAAAATATTTGAAAGATTAATGAGATATATGTCAATTCAGATATTTGTCAATTGCTATTTTGACTAATATTAAATAGTAATCAATTATATACAAAGATACACTATAACATATATTTTTCACACTTCGAATGAATCAATGAATAAAATGGGGTCTAACTAACGTCTTACTTGTCTGCTCCAGTCTGGCTAATGAAGATGATTGTCCCCGGATAGAGCTGAACTGGTCCCCGGACAGCTACTGAATTCCAACTTTCAAGGTTCGTCATTACGTGCATGTCAAGGTGTTCTAGGGACCTAATTATTTGCGTCACATCCGAACGATCTGCAGTTATTCCCTGTAAAAACCTTCGCCCTGCTTCACCAAGTATGTACTTTGTAGCCTACTTTGAGGTTTGTATTTCGTTTGTCCCTCTAGAACATTTACTGACCGCAGCAGGACGAATAACGTACTGACCATACCATGCATGACTACACAAGTATATATGCTAAGTATACAATGTTAAGGGTAATCATACGTCCATACGTCTTACGCATATGGCGTGAATGACCGTTAACGCAGAGAGAGAAAGAGAACATAAAATTATATACTTTTACTTGAGATATGCTACTAATCATTCAGTTACACAAAAGACAAGGTGTTACAACAAGTTAACACGGATATGTTTGCAGTGATACCTATAAACATCACACACAAGGACACGGTGTACCACTTAAACTGCAAGTACGTGACGTGATGTTATATATGTCAATACTGTCTACAGATTCTATAACGATTTATTCGCTCAACGGCGCAGTTACAAATTTGTGATAAGAGCGAGAGAGAGAGAGAGAGGGAGAGAGAGAGAGAGAGAGAGAGAGAGAGAGGGGTTTAACGTCCACTCAGCACAAACTAGATCAATTCGGGACTAACATATGGTTCAACATATAATTCGCTTGCGCGTTGGGGTCTTTAACAGTGGGAGGAAACCGGAGAACCCGGAGAAAACCCACGAGGTTGGACAGGACTGACATATGGTTCAATTTTATTTCATTAATTCGGTTGCGCGTAGGGGTCTTTAGCAGAGGGAGGAAACCGGAGGATCCGGAGAAAACCCACGGGGTTTAACAGGCGACCCCAATCCTTGTCACGTACAAACGGGGAATCGAAACCACACCACTTGACTCAATGAAAATTTCTGATAAACGGGGCCCAGTATCGGTTCTGTCAGGCGAATTCATTTGGTCGAGAGGATGGGGTGGGAGGGGGGGGTTAAATAACGAATGAATGAAATGTGGTTTTATGGCACGTAAGCTTCAACCGGATTATATTGCGTCAAACGTAGGGTGATGTACGGGACAAGTTAAAGATACTTTATGTAAGATTTAGATAAAGAACTAGCCATTCTTGCTATAATAGTTCGAAAGTAGATGATGTAAAATGAATAATTTGAAAATTTCATTCAAATTACTCTATTGCAAGCGAAGATATTAGCCTTTGAAGGTTTGACAGACGTGTGCAATAATTTCAACCACCGTACTGGTTGATCGAAGGTAAGTCTCGGTCCTCCATATTTGATTAAATCAAAGTATCGCTGAACCATTCTAATCTATTTAATATCGGAGAAATCAAATGCCATCGAGAGTTGGTTAAGGCCTGGATCAGTTAATTAATGTCTAATTAATACTTTAGAAAACATTTCAGTCCTAAAGAAAGACCTGCAATAGGCAGATTTAGATCTTGCATAATGCATGTTTAAAATATATAACAATAAATCATATAATCGAAAAAAATTCAGAGACGTTATATATATAAAAAGAAAAAGAATTATCCATATAAATGTTTTAAATATTAAATTGAAATGACAGAGTGAATTATGAGACACGTTAAATTATACAACAATAAATTATATGCATATAAAATTTTAAAATATAAAAATGAAATGATAGATTTATATACAATTAAAATTTATGATACAAACCTGTCTCTTTTTAAAAAAATCTATTTTCTTACAATATAGACCTGGTGGGGCAAATAAATTCTGTAATGACTGGCAACGATACTATTTTTGACCTTGTAGATTAAATAAAATAGCGAGGTTATACGGTGTTATTACAGTGTGTTAACCTGACAGAATTCCTCGTTTAGCCAATTAACTTAAAGTTAAATTCCTAGTTAAATCAGTTAACTCAAATTAACTTAAAGTCAAATTCCCAGTTTAGTCAATTAACTTAAATTAACTAAAAGTCAAGTTCCTAGTTTAGCCAATTACCTCATATTAACTAAAAGTCAAATTCCTAGTTTAGCCAATTAACTCATATTAACTAAAAGTCAAATTCCGAGTTTAGCCAATTAACGACAAGTAAAATCAGTTTAATCTTAATCCTTAATACCATGAATTAAAATTAAATTGAATTTAAAAAATAGCAAGTTAAATTAGCATGGACAAAATTATTTTAATTTCACTAAATATGACGCTTTATCTATGTATCCCATGTAAGAATTTCTAGTCCATGTGTTGTCTCTTTAATCTGTGTTGGATATTGGATTACTTGTGTCGTTTCTTGGGTGGTTCGCCTGTCCAACCTCGTGTGTTTTCTACGGGTCCCCCGGTGTCCCCCACTGCTAAAAGCCCCCTACACGCAAGCGAAATATTGAAATAAAATTGAACCATAAGTTAGTCCCGAAATGAGCTAGTTTGGACAGGCGACCCTACTCCTTGTCATGTACACGCGGTGAATCGAGACCACGCCACTTGACTCAAAAACATACCTTCTGATCTAACTCGGGGGGTTGGATGGCTGAATGGTTAGCACGTGCGCGCTGTATCATAAAGTCTGTCATTGAGTCAACTGGCGTGGTTTCGATTCCCCGGTTGTACGTGACAAGTAGTAGGGTCGCCTGTCCAACCTCGTGGGTTTTCTCCGGGTCCTCCGGTTTTCTCCCGGAGGAAGCGAATTGTGGAAATAAAAATTTAACCATGTGTTATTCCCGAAATGACCTAGTTTGTGTCGAGTGGACGTTAAACCCCATATCTCTCTCTCTCTCTCTCTCTCCCTCTCTGATCTAACTCGCAAGCGTTAACCATTCGGCCACGCCTAGAAGAGATTTATTCTCCACGTAGAAAAAATAGTTATCTGTGTGCAGAATGCGCGGTCTATTTAAAGATACATTATTGGAGATTAGATAAAAAGCTGGCAGCTCTCACTATAATAGTTAAAAACTAGATAATGTAAAGGGAATATGCTGAAAATTTCAGTCCAATTGATCCACTTTGAACCGAGATATTAGCGTTTGAATTTTAGGCCTAGCCTCGTTTATCATTACTAAAGTCGGTGCGATAAAAAACATATTCTCGATTATCCATTTTTGGATTAAATCATCAATGATCGTTGAGCAGCAGATCGGATTCTAATACAGTAAATATCGCAGGCTAGCCATGACATCGAGAGTTGAATATGGTCTGGATAAGTTAATTAATGTCTAATTGATCAGTTAATTAATGTATAATTGATAGTTTATGTAACATTTCAGGCCTAACTAAAGGCCTACAATAGGCAGATTTAGCTCTTGAATAATGTATGTTTAAAGTTGTATTATATGTACTTTGTAGTGGTCCAATACATTATAATCTATGACCTGGTCTGTGTTGTTTGGCAAAGTAAATATTAACAGATTGTATACGTGATCAACACATATTTATAAAATGTATATTTTTTGTAACGTCCATAAACTAGCCCAATATATTAAAGGTGTGTTAATTCAAACTTCAATGCTCCGGCGTGGTTCTCCCTTGTCAGTGATGCAGGGCGGAGGGCCTGACAAGGACAGCTGTCTAGTCGTTCGGATGGGACGAAAAACCGAGGTCCCGTGTACACATTGGCGTGCACGTAAAAGATCCCTAGACAGTTGGAATTCGATATAAGAGTAGGCCATAGTGCCGCTGTCCGGGCAAAATTTCCCTCATAGCACACTGTATGGCGTATGCCCGTCTTCATTAGCCCAGTTCGGAGCAGAACAGTAGGACGTTAAACCCCATTTCATTTCATTTCATTTCATTTTAAACTTCAATGCACTAACAAAACAAGGAAAAACAAACAGTAAATTATTGTATCAGCAGTGCCTCTCATAGACTTTTCTTTTCTTAATTTTTACCTCTCTTCCATTGCCGAGAAATAGCCCTTTTTGGGCACCAAATACTGGGAAAATTTGGGCACAAAATTGTACTTTGTAAAAGTTGTATCAAAAAAATATTGTGTTCTTGAATGTGTCCAATTTAACAGCGAATTTATTATTATTATGTAACATACTAAGAACCTAACTACATTTTTTGGGCACCATCCACCACCGCCCCCCCCCCCCCCCACGGGGAAATTTTTCACTGGGGGGGGGGGGCGGTGGTGGTATATACGTCAGACGGGTGAGGGGGTGGTCGGGGGAATGCTCGAATGGTTAGCACGTACCATAAGGTATGTCATTGAGTCAACTAGCGTGGTTTCAATTCCCGGGTTGTACGTGACACGGAGAAGGATCGCCTGTCTAACCTCGTGGGGTTTTTCCGCGTCCTCCGGTTTCCTCCCACTGCTAAAGACCCCTATTGAAATAAAACTGAACCATATGTTAGTCTAGTCCCGAAATGACCTAGTTTGTGTCTAGTGGACGCTTAAAGGCTCAATACCACTCTTGTTGAATAATATGTCCCAATCTTTATTCTGGTCAACAAATTGTACTAATTTAAAAAATTGGAAAACTTCAACTAAATGATTTGAAAAGCCTAACGTAAACCTTTTCAAATGTGACTTGGGTTTAAAAATATTTTCGAACCCTCTGGACAAGTAAAATAGGATGTAATGGATAATTTACACAACAGGTAGGACACCTAAACATCTAGTACTTAGAATAAGGCTATTATTTATTTTCTGGAGCTGTCAAGCCAGCAAGAGTGTTATTGTCCCTTTAAGACCTATGGACGTATGATTACTTATGGTGGGTAAGTTATTCATGCTAGTGAGGTCAGTAAATGTGATAGGGGGACATAAGAAATAGAAACTGTCCGTATAACACGAACAAAACATTCTGATATACCACAATAAAATACACAGTTAGCTACTAAATATATAAATAAATAACCACCATATACAGTACCCGTAATAAATTAAATTACAACAAGTCTACTCCCCGTACCTAATTAACAGGTAAATCTACAGTAAGGTAAATAACCACTATATACAGTACCTGTAATAAATTATATTACCATTGAGAATCTCGACCAACAAGTGTGCTTCTCATATGAAAGTCATACATCAACACCGGTTTCAGGTATACGATGTTCACATTGAACAGGTAAATAATCTACTGTAAGGTAAATAGCCACAGAATACAGTACCTGTAATAAATCAAATTACCATTGATAATCTCGGCCAACCCGTCAGGTACGACAACATGGGTTTCAGACAAGCAAATGAATATTTGGTATACTATGCTCACATGTACCTAATGAACGGGTGAATAACCCCGGACTTACCCTGTATATTATTAATGTCATAGGTTGTTTGTAATTTCAACAACTACTCGAC